GACTTTTATAAAGTTTAATGACCTCTAATAAATTGCTTCCATGTTTTATTTTACTGATAAAGAATTCTTTTATATCTAACACATTCGAATAAATGTAAATTACACCAATAATTTCTATAAACTCGTTCTAAATTGATTTTTATAATTGCAAATTTAGTTCTACTTTAGCAACAATATCCTGTTTTTCGAAATCAATACGACATAAGACTGATGTATACGGGAATGATTAAGGATCTTTTAAATTATTAATTATTTTTTTCCTCTGTAAATTATAACTTACAAAAAAGAAATATCAAAACAAAAAGACAATCTGCCGAAACCCGGGATTGAACCGGGGACCTTTAGATCTTCAGTCTAACGCTCTCCCAACTGAGCTATTTCGGCGACAATATTCAAACTGAAAGTATATTATGTTATACCCATTGTTTTCTTTTATTACAGTTATAGAAATTTGCTCGGAAAATGAAACTCAATTAGTAGAATCATCACAAAATGGAAAGAACCAGCGATGGATAAATAATATCACAGATGAGACTGATAGTAATTTAATAGGTGAATAAACATATTTTATATAATTTTTTTGCCTTTGAACTTTCTGATTTACCGTCGTGATGACGAAAATTTACAATAGGTCTAAAATGAACAAGATCATATGTCTTTCATCTACAGGATTAATGTAGTAGAAACGGTCCTTAAACTATTGAAATATATCAAAAGTTCTGTATTATTGTTGTTTCCATTCGCAAACTATGCTACGCTCAATTATCGTTACTGCTTATTTTTTCCTTTTATTCACTAAAATGAATACAATAACAATGTTCACAGAAAAATATAAGTTAAGTAAAAACGAAGAAGTATTTCTGACCACATTACCATCACCAAAAGAAGATCCGACCAGTAAAATTTTACTTTCGTTAAAAGGCACTTACCCAACGTCTACATGGAAACAATTCACAATATTATCACGGAGATCATTCTTGGTAAGAAGTAATAACTTTGATTGTTAAAAATCAATCGATTGCTTGTTATTCTTTTATTTTTATTTCCAAATGTTTATGGATTTTATTTCTTTCTTTCTAATAACCAGACGATTATCTATCTGTCCTCTTTCTCTGCTTGAGAAATTCTAGATGATCGAAATTTGCATTTAAATAAAAAGTATATATTTTTTTGTATCATATGTGAACCTAACGAGACGACCATAATGATTTTTATTGGTCTATTAGAAAGAGCACCGGTTTGCTGGCAACAGCTGTAGGTTGAGCCTACCAGTGTTAATCTTATTGCAATATCTATTACTTCCAGTCATACTGGCGGGATCCCCAGTTCACGCTTATGATCACCGGCATCCACTTATTCATGGCGCTGTTCGTCGGCTGCTTGTTTTACGACATTGGCTACGAGGCGCGGTACATGCGGAATAACTACAACTTCCTCTACTTTAGTCTTATGTTCCTCATGTTCACCGCGTTCAGTGCCGTCTCCATCAGATGTATGTATTTATTAAATAGATTTTATTCGCTAATTCAAACTAAAACGAAAACAAATACTGTGTTGTAAATCCTTTTGTCACTGGAAAGTATCTTAACTTCAAAAATTCCAATAGTTGTCTGACGCGTATTTGAAGCAATAACCTTCAGTTTGCAATATTTTCATTCTCAGACATAAGAAGTAATAAGAGTACGAAGCTTCTACAAAAATAAGGATTACTTCAGTGACCAGGTTTAATGAAATAAAGTAAATTAGTTCCAGAACAAATGCCCGTGGTACGGAGAGAGCACTTCAACCGTTGGTACGCAACTGGTGCGTACTACGCGTCCATTCTGGTGTCGTCGCTGCCCACACAGACCATCTGCACCCTAACCTTCGCCGTCATCACATACTTTCTGACTGGCCAGCCGCTAGAGTACAAACGCTTCTTAGGCTTCTGCTGCTCTCTGCTGCTGGTCTCTTACACCGCCATCTGCATCGGACTCTTTAATGGGTCCTTGTTTAATGTTAAGGTGAGCACACACAATACTGTATTTAGCATGCATCCGCATGATGCAAAAGAAGTGCAAATGCGTTATAAAAAAAATGGTGTAACATCTTAATAACACAGTATTCTGGAAAAGACTGGCTTTGGTAGTTTTAATTTCTTCGATATAATTTTTTTCTCGTAGACGACTTAATTTGTTTTGACGGCATTTATTTATCGTCTTTAGTTTATTGTTTGTTTTACAGAATGGTGTTGTGTTCGGGCCGTTCTTCATAATGCCGTTCACGGTGTTCTCCGGCTTCTTCTTACGCTACAGCGACGCGCCGTTCTTCTTCCAATGGATGTTTAACTTCTCCTTCTTGAAACACGGCCTGGTTGGCTTGGTTATATCGATATTCGGTATGAATCGGCCGAAACTCTTTTGTGACATACTCTACTGCCACTATACTTATCCCAGACAATTCCTAGAGGATAACGGGATGGCACATGAACAATACGAGTACACGGTTATAGCTCTATTCTGTATAGCGTTCGTCTTCATATTTTTATCAAATATCGTTTTAAAAATTAGAATGAGAAGTAAATGGTGACCATCTCTATAGATCGGTGTTTGTACACTGGTAGTTGTAGCTAATTCCATAACGTAAATGATCTCTCGGTAACGTTTGTATAGACATTCTTGGTATTATTACAAGTTTGTAATTTATATTTAATATTAAATTTATTTACAACATATTTGTAATGTCATAATTAACATTTTTATAAAGACAATAAATATATTCCAGTTTTTTTTCAATAAATTCGAATGAAATATATTTACGCGTTAATTAAATTTTATGGTTTAAAATAATTGCTATAATTAGATATTATGGGCACATGATTTTTTATCTAATGTAGATTGTATTAAGCGGAAAGTTAATTATGCAAGTAATATTTGTAAGATTGCAAATGGGTTACGGGTATGCCCGCTAGATGGCATGACAAAGAAATCTAGAGCAAAAGAAAGCGTAGGTTTATCAGACTATAACCCCTGTATGAAACATATCGACATCCCTATCATTATCTTTGATAAAACAGAGGTAACAATATATTTTAAACGGGTATTTTAGTCTCAGAAACCCAAGGTTACTGTCGTAATGCAGCACCGAGATCAAATACCCAATAATGTTGATATTTATAGATATCCGAAGATATTATTCCTAGCTTGAATTATATTAAGTGTTTTCTCTAGTCCTAGAGGTTTATTGAACATTTGGTTAAAGTATTGAAAATCGTCATTAAAAGTTAAGATAAATATACGCTCAAAATGTCTTAAGTTACATTACATTGTAAAATAAAATATTTGTGACCATGACTAATATTATACTTGATTATGCATTTAATAAATAATTCAACTAGCGAAGCAAATTCGAAAAAAGTATAGTTATTCCGAATTAAACGCAATGCAGCAAATAAAACATGCAACACACGTTGAGTTAAATCTGAACAGTTTGACCGTTGTTACAGTATGTATTTGACTATATTAAAACAAATAAGATTAATAATTGAACATATCTTGTATATTTTTAAGTTATTCTATGGTCATATTTGTATGTTATTTTTTGAGATATGTTTGCATGCTTATAATATAGCTCTATTTTGTATGGTATGGGTAATGGTCATTTAATTGCTGTAATATTGTACATATACTTTACTAAAGAGTCAATTTAGCCAGTTATATTATAGATTTAAAAAATATATAAGAAATAGTCATAGAATTTTAATTGTTGATAAGATTTACGACAAATTGAATAATATATGATTTTAGATACATAACCTATAGACTCTTACAAGTTTGACGTCAAATCAAGACAACACTGAGAAAATTTACCCCAACAAAAAGTCACTGAAGATCTTTTTTTTGCTTTAGTTTTGGGCTCCGATTTAGTTGTCTATGGGTCTATCTATGTATACAATATACTAATATTTAAATGCACGAGTACAATGTACTTAAAGCATTAAAGCTGTGATTTAGAACAACGATGTAATAATTTTTAGTGCAGTTAAAGTTAAGTTGGTGGAAAGAAATGTATCAATGTTTTTATGTACAATATTGTTAATTAAATAAAATTGGAAAAATATCAAATAGTTAACTGAACTTTTATAAATTTTATTGACGTAATAAACCAATACATTCCAATGCCAGTTTTTTTTTTCATCTTACTAATATTATAAATGCGAATGTTTAGATGGATGGATGGATGTCTGAAGGTATCTCCAGAATGGCTGAACGAATCTGGATGAAATTTTGCGTATGTACATGCAGAACATAGTCTGGAAGAACACAGAGGTTAATAATTATTTTTTCTAATTCCGCGCGGTGGGAGTCGCGGGCGCTGTTAGTATGACATACATTTTTGATCAACGATTGTAAGTTATTTTTTTTAGTAATTTACATGTAGTGTACATATTAATAAAGCATCATCGAGAGTAACACGGAATTGATTCGTATAAGAAATTCGAAACCAACATTTTTATCAATTAATTGTGGCTTCGGAGATCTGAAATTGCATGCAAAAGGCAAACTCGGTCGATCAAACTTTCGTATGTGTAAATATTATTCCTCATTTGCACTGAATGTAAGTGTACAAATTTCTATTGTTTTTGGCCACATCAGAAACCCGTAAGCTCAAAAAAAGTTGCGAATATTTTGTCAGTCGTGTTGTCTTTGTTACCTTAAATTTATTTGACATTATTAATAGCATCCTAACGTGCGTTTATAATTACCGTGTATAATTTTATTAAAGCTAACAGAAGACAACAGGAATAAAAGAACATCTCTATAGAGAGGAAAGAAAAACCATAGACACGCATTTTATTCATGTCTTGCCATTTGTAAAAAATCTAAAATATACGAATACGACAAATATTTCTACGACTTTTCTACGACTGTATAACTGATAAAGATTATATAAATTAACATTAAGGTATCGATAGATAGGAAAAGATTACATAAATACGAGTGAAAGCCAAAGTTCGTGTTCACAAAAAGTTGTTCTTACATTTACTTAACATGGTTAGTGACGCAGGGCAATTTTCCAATCACCGGTTGCTCCAATTGGCGTAGTTGTGTGATTCCAAACGTTAAAGTGCAAGTAAAGTGGTTTAAGAAACTACAGTTTTATTTCTAAAATGCATTTAGAGATAGCTAAAGACAACATAAGTGTGGAGGATGGCATTTTACTTGCGTTCCAAGATCTTTCATATTGCATTACTGGGAGTTATGGACGTAAGTTTATTTTTATACTGTTACATACCACAAATTTACAATGAAATTAATATTTGCTCCAACAATTGTCTTGGCAAAAATTGTATCCACTACATATTTTTGGAAAACATTTATCTATGCGCACTTAACCGTTATTACTAAGATATTAAACTAAAAAAAATAGAAGAGTACAAGAAGAAATGACATTGGAATCGCATATTTGAGAGCGTAAATTTTTTATCAATTAAAACTAATATTTATAAGACTCTATGTCAGTAATGTTTCTTTAATTCATGCAAAAATTCGAACAATTTTTGAGGTATCTTTACCATAAGAGATAAGATTATTCCGATTCACTATTTCCTATATAGGTATAATTAAAATTTATACATTTTTTTTAATTAAAAATAACTTTTGATGTCAATTATATACTTATATACTTATTTAACTTAAGATGTCAGGTTCTGAAGCACTATCCCGCTCAAGAATTTCATTTATTGTCTTAAGAATAAGCAAATGCTTTATGCCTAATACATATTTTTATAATCAATGCAAAGAATAGATTTGCAAGAAGATTTTTGTATATTGTTTATGCTATCTATATGTATGCTATCTAACATAGATTAAAAATGTAATTAAGTCAGATGTCTAATCTTATATGAGTTGTTTATTATCAAAAAATTGAGGCAGTCTCCTTAGTTTGCTATCACAATTGTTGTCGCTACGGGCTTTGAGGTGATAGCAACTAAACGAATATTATCATTAAAAGAAAGGTTTAGTTTCTTATTTGAGATGTATTTTTTTTATTATTTTCCTTAATTATTAATTAGTTTCATATTTTTGACTAAGCTCGCATAGTATCTATAATATTAATTTAAATACATATTTTTAGACATAAATTATTTGCCGTAGTGTGGGTTTAACAAAAGAAATAATTTCAGTTGTCACATTTTAAGTATAATTCGGAAAGAAGTGCTTATTACCCTCGGTATACTCAACAAAGTCGTGAAACATTTGCTGCTTGACAAAGCCAGGTACTCACCATAAATATTTAAAAAATTGGTAAAGTACACAAAAACAATCTACAGCAATTAGTAATTATATAACCAGGGTATAATCATTCATGATAATGAAATAAAAGACCTAAGTCAATATCAATCAAAAGTGTGGTTGCATTCATTTTGTCCTTAATACGATAAGACAAATGCAATCACGCCACACCCACGCTCAACCCACGTCCTTCACAAAAAAGGGTAAGTGAAGGTTAGCGGATTTTAAATTGTCCTTATTTAACATAAGCAATTGCCCGCGACGCCGTCAACGCGAAAGAATTTTACAAATCGGTTCAGTAATTTCGGAACCAATGCTTCAAATCTTTCCTCTTTTTAATGTTATCATAGATAATGTTCCCGTTAACGATAGGATATCAATATAATTATTTTTATTTCAAATGTGCGGATTTTTTCGAAAATTGTGAAAAAAATAGTAGAATTCGCAGCAGACTGCTGCACGAATAACCAGCTCGATCGCTTCAATACTACGAATAAACAGAAGATAGGCATGAAGTAAATATATTTTCGCGTTTCGTGTGGTGAATTTTTGTTCAGGAAGCCAAATTCTAGTTCCTTCTCTCCCTTCACGTTAAGAAGAGATGGACTCGTCGGGGGAAAAGTAAAATTTAACAAAACAATAACAATGATTTAAACGGAAAAATTAAATATAACACATATCGTATTATAACAACATTTTCATATTATATATCATTTAGGTTAAGGATTCCGAGCACATCATGGAAGAGGTCCGATACAACTATATATGTAATAGTAAATGATAACATGCCGTAGTATATATGAATGAGCGTTCGCATGGTTCGCAGTCAGCAAAGTGCATGCGTACCGAAAAGCTGTGCGCACGCGCACTAACGCGCAAATATTCTTTAGACATCAAAGTTGCGAAGTGAACATAATGGGTAGTGAAGTAGGAAACGTAAATGTCCTTTGTGTCGGAAATTATGTCGTGTTCACGGATATTATATACAGAATATCAGGTAAATAAAACTTGCGTTATATTAATTTTGATACACGTTGAGAGAAAGTTAGAACTCTGAGTGCGAATATGCCGCGATTATAATGTATAATACTTTTTCGTAAATATATATTCAAAACATGAAATAAAATAAAAATTGTTTTTATTTAACCTGTATTCAATATTTATATACAACTAGTTGTTGTCTGTGACTTTCTCAACGCGAAATTTTAAAAAAAAGTAATCTAAGTTACTGCACACGTAAGCTAACTACCAGTAAAAGTCCCGTTAAAATCCGTCAGCTTTTTTCGAACATTGTCTGAAAAAAAACGCGGATTTATGAACAGACATGACAAAATTTCAAAAATTGAATTTATGCGTAACATACATTATGTATACTAAATATGTTTTTTTTAATATAATTTTGCTTATGCATATAAAATGTGTGAGGGGTTTTAACTTAATTCTATGTATAAAATAAAAATATTTACTATAAAAGGCATTGTATTGTAAAGTTATATACATATTGGATTAAATAAGTAACTATATTATACACAGCAAATACCAAAAACAAAATTAAAATTGAACATTAAAACAAAAAATGTTTTATAACGTTCTTCTTCTTCTTGAGGTGCCTCTCCGACTAGCGAAGGTTGGTTTATAACATTACCAAATTTAAATAAACTTAATTTATTATGTTAATGTTTTAGCTCCAAATAGGTCATGAATATTATTACTACTATAGTAGCAACCATATTTTTGTACCGCATTCAACACATTATAAACATTTTAAGTTATAAAAAAATGAAAAATGTTCTTCATAATATTCATTTGTTAAGGCTAAAAATAAAAACAAAGTCTGTTGCAAAAAAAATTGCGTACAATCATAATAAATGTGAGAAAAGCATAAAGTTTGCATTGCGGACATCAGTGAATGTAAACAGGTTAAGGTCAGACGATACTTACGACTTTACTGCAGCCAAATACATGAACATTTTCAATTTAATATGCAAATATCAAAGAAGTTTTATAAATATCTTCATATAATAAATTAGAAATTCTTTTATGTGCTTGAATCCAAAAAACTGTGTTTTTTTTCTAAAAGACAAAGACATATTAGTTGCTAAAGATAATAACATTTAAAAAATATGTTTTTGTTAAAAACTTTTGCTATGTGCTTCGTGCTGATGTATTATGTCCTCTACGACATTACGTAGAAGACGAATCGAAGGACTCTTTTCTCATCAAAATCGATTCAGTTGGTTAAGTTCTAGGCCCGCACAATGGAATTTATATACATACAAACCAACCCACATATACAAACAAGTTTAAATACGCAGTAAAAACCCTCTTTGTTAAAAATATAATAATCCCGACAGTCTTGACCTAGTCAAGTATACAATAAGTTTATTAATCAATTTATTTGCGCTAAATTAAATTCCTTTATATATCAAAGGACAATCCCTGACCTTTAACTTTACCGTTTTATTATTAACTACATATAAAAGAAGCTCTTCAGTATTTTAATTATAATCCGCTTTTCAAAGGGCTTAATTGGTCTTGAATATCATAATTGTCAAGTTTTTTTTTTATAATAAGTATAACGAATACTTGAAAATTGATTAAATTTATTTTTACTACCACACAGAAGTATTTCTTCCCAGTGATAAAGTATAAAACTAATGTTGATTTCAAATCTTATGTTCGTTTGCTTTCATCGTCTAGACTGTAGACCAAGAAATTATTTTCACCTGTATTTATAATACACACAATATTAGCATGTGACGTTTACATTGATCCAGTGCTGGGATCGATCATTTCAGTGCGAGTTTTAATATTCCCATTTGTAACCCAACGCTGGATTCGATCGCTGAACTGGAATAATGTGAACAGGGCATTTAAGTAAAATATAGAACAAGTCAGTACTTGTATGCAAACACATGGACTTGGTTCTGTTACGACGAAGTAGTGTTGATAATTACCCAATGGAAAATTTAATAAGAAAAAAATCAATTAAATGTCAAGCTCGGGACTATACATTTTCTGATAATCATTTTATTTTTATATAAAAAAGCAATGGCACGATGACGATGGAATGTTTATAGGCCTGATGTCTAGTGGTAAGGTATATTTACGTCTCAAATAACATTACGAACTTATTTACCTTTACATTAACATAAATGTTTTTGGTTGATTTTAAAGGTAATATTTGGTCAAACAAAAAGGCATATCCTCGCGACGACGAGCAAGTAATTTTGGATTCGGCATGCGGCGCGCTTCGCCCGGGCCGGCTCGCCTTTATCCTGGGGCCATCAGGTGCAGGCAAGACCTCGCTGCTCAAAATACTGGCAGGCAGAAAGTAAGCATTTACAACTATAAAAAAGTACAACTTTAACTTAATGTTATAATATAATCTTAAGAAAGAAGCAATGTTCAAAATTCATCATTTTTATAATTCAACCGTTATAGATGTCGCCCCCGACTCTGCCGCGTAGGGTTATAAAAGGTTCCTAAAGGGTTTTCCAGGCAACTACTGAAAATTTTCTCACCTTTTAAACCTACCCCAGACCTCCACGGACATTTCAAGACCAAGATGAGATAAATCCGTTCAGCCGTTCTCAAGTTCTAGCGAGACTAACAAACAGCAATTGATTTTATTTATATAGATTAATCTTTATGTGTGTCAATTATTATAAATAACTAATTAATAATAATTTAAAAATCCAAAAATCCCCACTAACGCCTAAAACTACCTCCTTTATAGTTATTAATCTCCTTCATAGTTATACCATAGACCAGTGGTTCACAAACTTATTTTGTCTACTGCCCACTTTGAGAATAAATATTTTTTTAGCGCCCCCATATTTTCACATATTTAAAAACCACTATAACTTCAAATTAAATTAATTAATTATTGTGACCTCTTTATGTATAATAACGGAGAATTCTAAACGAAACTTTTACTATAACCCGCAACATGAGACCTGCAGCGCTCATAAGAGAAAGACTGCCATAGGCTTATATATAGAAGGATCACTTCAGACAAGTTGGACCTTTAAAAGCATGTGCACAGTTAGCAGTACATTTTATGAACATTGCATGCATGCAATATGCAGTATATATCACTAACAATGCAAACTACGCATTTCCATCTTCAAAACATATTTTATCTATTCCTACATTTTCATAGTATTCATAATAGAAAATATCAACCAGACGATCTACTTTATAATAGACGTCGTAATGCCAAATTTAATTATTAAAGAAAACAAATCTGTATCTGATAACCTGTTTTATAATGACTTTAAACCACAAAGGATATTAATAAAGCAGGTTTTCATCACGTGTGAATAACAAAAACTTTTATTGAATTATCGCGAAGCAAGAAAAGAATTATTTTTGTGCTTTTTTTGTGTATTGTCGATTTCTTCCGTAATTGTGGAAAAATAATTAATAACTCAAATATATTGCAATTAATAAGATTTAGCTTTAGGATTTATTAATTTGAAATATAAGTATGAAGTCCAAGTAACTAATAAATAAATATTAAATAAGTATAAGACCACAATGCCTGTTATTTATTTTATGTATGGTAAATCCTAGTCAACCATCTTTCTCGGGAATGTTTCAACAAAGTTTTAAAAGCTTGTTTTTATTACGAAGATAATTTTTATTTAAAACAGCAGCCATTTGTAGATTCGCAGCCATATTTCTAGATAAAAAATACTTAAGTTTAAGGATAATGGAATCTAGTTTTTTCAAAAACTTTAACAGACCAATTAACATAATGTTTACTACCAAGACATCATTGGAATAAATGATGTCTAGACGAAAAAACTCAAGAACTCTAAATTCAAAAAATGTAAAATAAGTCATTGAAACAACATAATCCAGTGTTTTTACTATTTAAAGCCGATGATTTATATACAGCTTAGTTATCTTAAGATCAAAATTACCTCGCAATATAGCCATTTCCGTACATCGTTATGATTTTTTTTAATGAAAAACATACGGAGAAATAACTAATAACTAATTCACCTAATTCTATAAATTATCACTAATTTCCAAACTATACTATTATTATAAGTAGACACTAAAAAACTGACAACTAAGGATATGTCAGCAATATTTATAATCAATATTTTACTCTATATGTAGAGAATGTTATACATATGTATCTCTATTTTGATAAAGTACGTATAGTCAAAGGTTATCATATTGACCTGGATAATTAAAGCAATTGCTGAACAATAAATGTAGTCAAATAATATTAGTAATATACTTATATACGAGTACTTATAAAAATATCAGCAGGACAACTGCAAATGCGCTGCATGCCTTAAACTATGGGTATGAAGTTTTCTTAAAGAATCGATTGTCGATTTTGATATATCACGGCAAACTGATAATATTATAATACGATTAAGACAAAGATAGAGTAGCAAAAATCTGGTTGTATATAACCAACCATCGAAACATATTTACATGTGACATTTGAGTATATTATGTCGCTAAGCTTAGAGGAGAAAATATAAGAAAATTATTGTTCCGTAAAGTTGTTCGTTTTAATTAAGGTAAAGGCACTCTGAAGAAAAAGTCCCGATTATTCGGTACCTAATGGACTTTCTGAAAGTGAAGTGAACATGGAATTTAAGTAAATTACTAATTTGTTTCAGAAAGCGTGGTGTTAAAGGTTCTATTCAAGGGATAGGCAAGAACGCGGTGTTGGTGGCACAGCACGCAACACTTATAGACGCTCTCACAGTGCGCGAAACACTACATTTTGCTGCCGAGCTCAAGTTACCCAAAGCAACTCGACTTGAACGCAATGACACGGTACGAATTCATATTATATTGCATACTGTTCCGGTTTTGAAAGGTTAATTAATGTAAATTACGAACTTCTATTTCCTATTAGACTTATTTGGTGTGGCAACAGCATTTGATCTGCAACTGATTGGACATTGCGATTATATTTAGAGCAGTATGACAAGTTTTTCAGAAACTGGCAAATGAGCAAACAGCAAGCTACTTTATATAAATTATATTTTTTGTTGTTAGATAGAAATGATATCGAAACAGCTGGGAATCCGCGATGTGTTCAACACGCGGGCAGGCCGACTGTCCGGCGGCGAGCGTAAACGTCTTACGATTGCGTGCGAGCTTCTCACAGACCCTCAAATCATGCTTCTCGACGAACCTACTAGGTAATTCATACCAAATGATTTCAGCACTAATGGTTCTAATTCACTAATAATTCCATGACCATTTTATACCAAATTAAACTAAATACACTATTTTTTGTTATCGTTTGAAATAGGTAATATATAAAATAACTTTAATTACATGTAGGTATTAATATTTTTATCATTATACTACTTTGAGACAGTATTTTAAACGTCAAATCACAATGAATATAAACGTTTCATCACAAACTTTCTATCTATAGAAAGTCACTTCTTATGACATAGTAAACGGCTCGACCCGTAGAAATTTGTGCTCTTGATCTTTCATAACACATATTACTGGCAAGTATTAACTTAACAAATTTGAAGTAAAAACTAAAGTGACAATAAAATACAGCTTGCGACCAACCTTGTTGAACATTGAAACAATCGTAACGATGTAAATTCGAGCTTTAGAGATACAGATATCGTTACATTGTACATTTTGACGATAACCTTTAAACGACTAAAAAATTACTCAATTTTATTAATATTTATGTACTATTGAACCCAAGATAATCTTAATTCAATAGAACGTATATATTTAACTTAAATCGACCCAAACTTCTATCAAAACTATCTATTATTTATAGAAAGACCTAATCATTTACTTCATGATACTGTTAAAAATGTATTTTAACATACTTTTACTTTAGTGGACTCGATTCAGTATCATCTCTGTCAGTGGCGAAGGCGCTACAGGCTGTGGCCAGGACTGGGCGGACGGTTGCCTGCGTCATCCACCAGCCCTCCTCACAGCTCTTCTCCTCCGCTGATGACGTCATGCTGCTTGCAAATGGTCGAACTCTATACGCCGGCAGCATAGAAGACTTGCCCAACACACTAAAAACCGCCGGACTGATTTGCCCACGCTACTACAATATGGCGGATTATCGTAAGTACGATTTACTTCTTGCAAATAAAATTAATTTAAAAGTAGCCACTTTTGTGTAGCGATGTTTTAATAAATGGAAGACAAACAAAAACACTTGTCTCATCTGCTGGAATAACTACCGCCACCGTCTTATATCCGCAAAAGTCACAAGTTAATGGTATTTTATTATTTAGTTCCCCTGAAACCTTGAAATTATGTACGGTTCGGCATTAAATTATCTCTCTACTTATTGATTATGTGCACAGCGATGCGTTTAATAGGTACTCGATGACATAAGTAATATATATTTGTGCACGTATATATGTAGGCCATTGTGTTAACCAAGTCTATGAATCGTAGTTATTTTATCAATGGATTTGACGTTAGTTATCGCAGTGTTCAGTATGAAAACAAACAAAATATACGCATTATAACTTTGCTGTTCATTTTGCTCTAATTATGAGCAAAAAAATTCAATGTTAAGCCTTCCATTAAGAAATATTGAGAGAGAATCACTCACCTGAATCAAAATAGTAACTGCCGCTACACTTTTCCAATGATCACAGGTGCACCATTCACATTAAAATCTACACCATTCAAATTAAAATCTATTATTGGACAATGTTAAACTTAACTAAACTGGACTAAATTATTTTAAGACAATCCTTGTAACTTTAGACACTTGATTATTCTATCGCATAAACGACATTACGTATAATTAATTGATGTAACTATCTTTAATTACTTTATTAGAACAAGATATCGTTTAATTAATATATTAAATGCAAAAACAATGACGTCGATTAAAATGCATTGTCGATCACTTATTATGGTCTTAGAATCCAACGATAAATCACAATAATTATATCCTTGTTAAATGTAACTACTAAACGTGAGAAAAACGCCATGATGTCGTAATAACTGAATGGATAAACTGTCTCTTTATTTTAAAACTGGAAGGTAAATACGCTAAACTTTAAACTATCCCATTTTTATTCTAGTTATAGAAATCGCAAGCAATAAACATACGGAGAGCCTCGCAATTTTGGAAAATGAAGCCAAACTTTACGCAACGGAAATGAGAAAAATCGCTGAAAATGATAACTCTGCAAAGAATGAAAAAATTATTGGTAAGTTCATAATACACTTCCTGTCTACCCGATATTAAATATATATGTATTTTTTTGTATTTTAATACAGAGATAAGATTCGTAGGCGTCACGACTAAAGTACAGATAACAGATGTTTAGAGAAAAAAGCATAAATTTATAACACGAACACACTTACCGGGGTTAAAGGGCACTAAAATAATTTATGCAACTCTCCGTCATCGAGTTTTTTTTTTGTTTCTTATTCCATGTTTAAAAAATGTATCTGTTTATTGTTTACTTGTTGATATTATAATCTATACATATAAAAGAAAGTCGTGTTAGTTACACTATTTATAACTCTAAAACGGCTTTACCAATATGGTTGAAAATAGGTGAGGAGGTAGCTTAGACCCAGGAGACGGGCATAGGATATTTATTAATTTTTTTAATTTTATTTTTCGAATTTATGCCTTGAAGAGCTGCTTTTTATTTATCTATATATTATGTTTTTATATATATCCACTCGGACGGAGTTGCAGGCGACAGCTAGTATTTTATAAATAGCTTAGTTGGGTGGTTCCAATTCCGAAACGAAGAGAATAAATATATTGATAATACGAAATGTAATAATAATTATATGTAAATTTTTCCTTAACAGAAATCTCAAGTGAAGCCGAGGCACTACTGAATGAAAACACAATAAATGTTCAAAACTACGCAGCGTCTTATGGCCAGCAGTTGAGGGCCCTATTATGGCGCGGGTACATAGGAGCGCTACGAGATGTGCATTTGACTCAGGTAGTTACCGAATCACAAAATAAACATAAACGATGTGTGTGTTGTGTGTGTGTGTTTGTGTGTGGGTGGGTGTATGTGTGTGCATGCGTGTGTGACTATATACACATCAACTGGCTGTTTAATAAACGGTTACATATGTATAACATTATCATATTACAAAGCAATAGAAAACACATTATACATCTATAGATTCAAATATTTACATAACTATTTGCCTTATTATGAACTAGCAGTTGCACGCGAATTCGTCGGCACGTAGCAAAAAAAATTAGTGATAAATATAGCCTATGTCACCCAGATATTGAAGCTTTCCAACAGTGAAAGAATTTTTCAAACCGGTTAGATATTTTCGAAGCCTGTTCAATGCAAACAAACAAAAATCATTCCTCTTTATATTAGTAAAGGTAACATGTATTTACTAATTTATCCTTGAAATTTACATGAAACATTAACATTTGCATACAAAACTATATAAATGGACATTCCGTCGGACATATGCGTCGCGTCACATAAATGAATGAATTATATTGTTTTATCATTATATCATTGTTGACACTGGATGTAACCAAGTTTTATTGACACGGATCTAATATTAAATTATATAACCAATAAATGTTATTTGTAATATGTAATTTAGAATAACTAAATGGTAATTAAAATTAAATGAACGATTTAATCTATCTTTCTTCTAATGCGTAGTGTAGCTGTAGAAAATTAATGCTTTAATTGTGTAAAATTTTATATTTCTATAAAGTAGTACGTCAATAGATACGATGTTTTGCTTACTGCTTGTTAATTGTTCACTGAGGAGGGCCCTTAGCTTAGATTTGATTCTATACAAAGATCACTTATGTCATACGTTAAAAAATTTCAGATACGTCTGGTGACGCATCTCCTGGTGGCATTGTTATTGGGTGCGTTGTACAAAGGCGCAGGCGCTGAAGCTCACCGCATGACCACCAACACGGGCTGCTTGTTCTTTTTCCTCATGTTTATCTTCTTCTCTAACGCTATGCCGACAATACACAATTGTAAGTATAATTTGTAATTATACATTTTGAAAAATATAAGGTTTACCTAGTAAGTAATAAGTTATTTTGAAATGATCCATTATTCTCAAACAAGATATGTATATGGTAAATTAATTCTTTCTTGCATTTTGTACTGATACGAATAATCTAACAATTCGTAACAGTTCTCCACCTCTAAAGTTTCTTTTACAATAATTGTTATCAAATTATGTCATAAATATAAAAGGAATTGACTTTAATTACATTTTTAAATAATTTATTTACAGTCCCAGTGGAATCCACGGTTGTTCTTCAAGAACATTTGAATAAATGGTACTCCTTGACTATGTATTGCGCGTCGAAGATTTTGGTTGACTTACCAATACAGGTAAAGAAAAACCTTTTTAAATTTAAACAGTCAATAATTATGGGTTTTCCATTTTTGAATACTTCACTTGTTTATCTGTTTAATTATAATTATGTTTTTTACCTTTTTTCAGTTGTTATGTGCAACAGTTTTCATATTCCCGGCTTGGTACTTAACATCCCAACCTATGGAGCTGGATCGAATGGCTTTGGCGTGGATAATTTGTGCGCTGACCACAATACTAGCTCAAACATTCGGCTTAGTTATGGGAGCGGCTTGTGGTGTAAAGGTAAATAAGTTATACCATAGAATAGGAAAATTATAATAGTCTTATAACACCAAAGATTAAATTAAAGAAATGGTGATAGTTGTACACTGATGACCACTTCTTTGTATCTTTATTTTTTCTTTATTTATATTTTAATGTTTTTTTTTTCAGCTTGGAATGTTTGTGATCCCAGCGACAAACATTCCGATGTTAATGTTCTCAGGATTTTTCATCCCTTACCCCGAAATGCCAGTGTATCTTCGACCATTTGCGCTCATTTCGTATTTCCGATACGCATTCGACGCATTCCTATCAACGGTTTACGGTTTCAACAGACCGAACCTACCTTGCCATAAGGAATTTTGCTTCTACAAGAATCCTAGCAAGTACCTTGACTTTTTAGGATTATCTAAAGATTTTTGCAATGACGTTATTGTATTGGTGGTGTGGATTCTTGTATTAGAAATATCATTAATATGTGTTTTAAAGTACAGAGTATATAAAGCATGTAGATAGAATTATTTATTTCAATGTATTATTGTTTTTACAATTTTTCGATCTGTGTAACGCATAATTTTTACATCTATTTTTAATGTCTCAATTTAGTATGTAATTTTATTTTTCTACATTTATACCATGGGACCATGTATTTATAGAAATTCGGTGTGATACTCATTTATTTAAGTTTAAGTTTTGTTCCATTTATTATTATTATAATTACAGTTTAAGTTTAAGGGCCTATTTCACCACTTGCTTATAAATTTCCACTAGTTTTTGATTAGGCAATCAAACACATAAACTCTCTAAAAATTTGACCAAGCGGCTGATATTTTTTAAATATATTTATTAATTATTAGCTTGGTCGTAGACTATGTTTGTTTATTTATACTCAAAACATATTTTTTATAAAACTACTTGAACTAATATGGGCTGGAACCAGACAAAGACAAGACTTGACTCACAAAATATCAGTTCAATCAGTTGATAATATTACTTAAAAACGTCTTGTCTGTAAGAAAAAGAAAAAAACATGAAATTCGACTGATGTATGAGATAGCACCATCTATAGACTACATTTTAAAACATTTTTTTTAATTTAAACTAAATAAACTGTAATTTCTGATAAGATACCCACTTAGAATAAAATTTAAAAAAGAAAGAAAAATAGCGATGTAAAAAGTTAGGAGAATGCGATTCGAAGTCGCATTTTACTGATTTAGAATTAGATTTCCAAAGTTCACGTTCACTATTTTTTTATACCGATGTAATGTCGCTGTGGGGAAGACGAATCTAAGGATACTCGTTCAAATCGGTTTAAACTATAGGCCAACACATACAAACCCACTAACATAAAAACTTATGTAAATTACTCGTGTCGGGTAACGCTATATTTTTTTCTAGTTATTAAAAAAAAGTAGTCTATAAGATGTAAACATTGTGTCGACATTAGCTTAAAGTAAGACAAAATAAGATAACAATTAAAAAATATTATTAAGACAAAATTATTTTATTTGATTTATACAACACAGCCAGAAAATCACTGGAACGAAATGTCAATTTTTTTTAATCGCAAACATCTAAAATGAATAAATACAAAATATACAAATTTGCACAGGACATATTATGTACAAACACAACCTACGTTTAGCAGAATGACGGATCTGCGTTTAGCAAACCACAGTTTATATATAAAACATAATAAATACACATTGTACTTAAACTGTAAATGCCACAAGTTGGACTCGGAAAAAGAAAATAGTCGAAAACAAGATTTTTGTTAAAATTAATTTAAAAGATTTAGGACACTCATAATGTGAATAGATTATTTTTCTACATTTCACAATTTTTTTTTAATTGTTATAGGTCTTAATTTATAATTAAGTTTTCATTTTTTAATACAATTATATTTTTATTTCGATTTGTTTGTAAAATAATAGATTTGTGAACCAATGTTTTTTGCAAAACACTGTTTTATTTAAGGATGCACAAAGATTTCACTGACTATACCTATTCAACTAATTACATCAAAGTAAATTAGCATATTAATTTTCTCAAAGAAAAAAAAATACAAACCAAAAAGATAAAGGAATGTTTCAAAAGGCATACATTTTTTTTTAATTATTAGTAAATGATAATTTTGTCCAGTGACTCTAGCATAGAAATACACTTTAGCAGTATTCACTACACCGTGGTTAGCAATACCACAGCAAGCATTTAATAAAACAAAAGTAACACTTTCAACGACCATCGAGGTGAAATAAGCACAAAGATTTATCGCGAGTTTCTAAGACCACTGTCCCCGTTTAACATATATTGCTAACTCTGATTTTTTCAAAGACACGGATGACGATACGTTTTATATAGAAACTAGCTGTCGCCCGCGACTCCGTCTGCGCGAGATTAAAAAATAGATAGACAGTAGCCGATTCTCAGACCTACTCGAAATGCTTACAAAATTTCATGAGAATCGGTCAAACCGTGTCGGAGAAGTATGGGAACGAAAATTATGACACGAGAATTTTATATATAAGATTTTGGTCTTAGAAACCAACGGTTAAGCATTCATTTTAATAAACGTGTTTTTGTAATTAGCAAGAAATGTGATAATACTTTACTTTTTGTTTCAATTAACAAATTTCTCAATGGCTTATTTATTTAAAAGATAAGTTATGACAATTTGTATATTTACGATAACAGCACGCGAAATATATGTTTAACATAAACTGTACAAAATAAATAATTATGGTTCATATTTTTATTAATATATACAAACTTCATTTTTACAAAATGTCCGAATATATTGCACAATGAACTTTATAAATAACACGAAATGGTGACGTGCGAATAAATAATATAGCATTTCGAATAGAAATATGCTGGAAATAATGAATAAAAATAGATAAATCTAGATAATATTTAATAAAGATAAAACTAAAATGCATAAACAATATTACTATCTTACTAATATTATAAATGCGAAAGTTTACATGGATGGATATTTGTTACTACGTATCTCCAGATCTGCTACATGGATCTCGCTGAAATTTAGCATCGTCTGGAAAAACTCATAGACTACTAATTAAGTTTTTTTAGCCGATTAATTTTATTTTATTTTACGATTATTTTAATACGTTGCAAGCAAATTTTAAGTTTTTAAATGGTTCGGCCATTGATACATTTAAACAAAAACAAAAGAACATACTGGTAATCGAAAAATACTGGTAAATGGACACCAATTTTATGAGAATATTCTAAAATGTAAACAGAATAAAAAGTGGTCATAACATCACACTTTTATCTACAAGTTCTATTATTTTTGTGTCTTAAGAAAATAAAAAAAAACAAATAAACCATAGTGATACAAATGAATTGTAATACTGTAACTCTTGATTAATTTTTCTTTGGTATTAACAATACTCAAATATACCATGGGCTTACAATGACAAAACCTATTTAATACTGTCACTTCTTTTAACATTGAAAAAAAAACCATAGATATTATTTTTTTTCTCTGTTTCATCAATAGAACCCCACGGCGATAAAGTAACTTAACATTGTGTATATTATTATAATTTTACAATAGCCTCGTAAACATAAAAGTTATTTATATGGCTACAGTATTTGATTAAGACCAATGTGCTACAGACTCAAAAGCATTACCTATGAATAATATTGATAATTAATGTATAAAAATATGTTCATCTCACTATGTAAGCGTGCTCAGCAAGCTCTTCAATTGAATAATTTCATATTTTTCATAAAATCACTACGAAGGTAAATCCTCCAATTTTAACAACGACCTGAAAGAAAATATTAGTTTGTAATCTTACTATCTTACTTTTTACTAATCTTACTCTTAATAATATTATAAATGCGAATGTTTAGATGAAAGTATGGAGGTATGTTTGTTCGAAGGTATCTCCAGAACGGCTGAACGGATCTTGATGAAATTAGAGACAGCTGTAGAACATAGTCTGGAAGAACACATAAATTATAATTACCTGCAGTAATCTGGGGGCAATGTTAACGTTTTATACCAAAGAAGTATATTTAGAAACACACTCCATGTCCTTAATGGCCCAAATATAAAGGCTAACGTGCCATATTCAAGCCAATAGAAATACGCCAATAAAAGTTGTATTGACAACAAAAATATAAATGGTAAATTCTTCAAAACTCGTTTTACACCTCTTAGATTTTGTCCAAATAATCTCATCTCTAGGCAATACGCCAACACAAGTACAAGAGGTAAGTGTACAAACATTAACTGCACGCTACCGTACATATATGTAAACGGTTCTGGTATGTATGACCCCCTAATTACAATACCCCATGCAAAAACTACACCAATGTAGCCATCGATTAATTCACCGACAATCCATGGTCCAAATGGTATGTACAGCACATACAAAACTAAAGGAAAAAAAACTCTATCTATCTTCGTAAGCAACCAAATCCTTCTAAGAATCTTGTTAGCAATGCTTCGGCGACATTTTGGCGGTCGCTTTTGAAACCTCAGTATCACTAATGGTAATATATTGACCATCAATAGTGTTCCAAATAATGTCTGAAACTAAAATTGTTTTCTTTAATAATAATCCTCAAAAACTCTATCTAATATTGTGGTTACGTGACGCACTTACCACGCCACCAGCATCGAGCATAAGCAATATTCTCGGAACAACTTTGAATTGCAAATTTGATCCGTCCAAAGAAAATGGATGATCCACGATCGTTTTTCTTCCAATTTCATCAGTAGCCATGACATATAAGTAATGTAAACCATTTTTAAACAAATCAGGTTCCCATTGACAAACATACAAGGCTGTTTCAACCAATTTGCACTCTGACCAATTTATTTTATCATAAGATATCTGTACGGTGTCAATATTTACGTCGCTAAAGGCCAGTATTCTAACGTGAGTCGAATATCTAATTAAAGTCAGGGGCTCGCGACCGGGCATCGCATATAGCGCGTGCTTCGGATTAGTCACAAGAACAACTGGCCACGTATTATGTTTTTGATCGACGAAAGAAAAAATTCCGTGGTCAATTGCCGCCAAACGGTACATTCTATTATCTTTCCAATCACCCAATTCGAGTTCAAGAAAACCTTTCCTTTGAATTGTGTACATTTGTGGTACTAATCCACCCATTGAATGAAGATGGCCACATACGTAGACTTGAGATCCTTTTACGTTGCTTATAAGATGGCGTAGATTTAGTTTTTGTGAGTCTCTCTCTAAAGATAGTATACATGATGTAGGATAATGGCCAAACCAAACAACATGATCGGCTTTCGATTCTGCTTCTAGTTTTAATTTCTGTAAATGTTGCTGTTCTTGGTTATCTAGTATGCCGATAAAATTGAACGGTCTCCGTATTCCAGGATCAGGGCACGCGTCAACGCCTAAGAAAGCTACTTTTACGCCATTTTCATTTAAAATATGAACATAAGATTTTGGATAAGTTTTACCCTGGACAGAGTAGTTTCTGAAATAATTCTCTTGAGCATTAATACTTTTAATGTTGAAATTATCTGAAAAACGAAGACAATTTTTTAAGGAAACATTCAGTCTTGTACTTTTAACTAATTTAACATATTTTAAGAAAATAATAGATATTAAGGCAAAGTAATAAATTAAAAAAGCTAAATCATATAAAAAAAATTCTAACTGCAATTAAAAAGTCAACTTCAAGTTCTTAAAAAAAAATATATTATAGTTCTTTTCAAGTAAAGTGGAGTATACTGGTTACATAATAAAATACAGTAGGTAACATAATATAACATAAATTTCCGAGCATTACATAATCTTTATCATTTATATGCCTGTTGTATTGTTCAGTTGAATACAAATAACTATATAATTTACAAGATAGTAAGGGCATTACAGTTCACATAAGTTGCCTACAGCCACAATCCACATTATAAAAACCAAAATAATGACATTCTGCCACTTCAAAAACATGTAAAACACCTTTATCATTCTATTTTTTAATTATTTATGGAAAGTTAAAAAAAACACAAGTAGACAATTAAACATTAAAGATAAATTAGTAAATTGTCCCATCAAACAACAAAGGAATCAAGAAATTTATGTAATTCTGTGCTAAATTAAAAGATAAAATTACTTACCATGATTTCCTCTTATATCTAACCAAATACTGTCACTTGTAACTCCCGATTCTTGTATAATATTGTAATAGTATATCCATTCTTTTTTCACTTGAGAGCTACCCAAGTTATCTTTGGCTTTAGCATCTGTTAAATCTCCTGTCGCCAGAACAATGTTTGGTTTTATATTTTTTACTGTGTTATCACAAAACTGCTGGAATTGGGATATTCTGCCTGGGTCTCGGAATATACTGATGTGTATATCAGAAATCTAAAAGACAATTAAAATTTCAGACTATGGTATTAACACTGATGATGATATTAATACATCAAGCATAAAAGAATTATGGAACAAAGAAGAAAATTTCACCTACAGTCGACCTTCATAAGGAAGTGGGCAAGGAACCAAGGTATTTTTCTCACATATAGAAGTTTCTATCTAACCCTAATTTAACCGAAGTAAAATGACTTGCTTATTCAGGTTTAACTGTATTTACTTATAACAATAAAAAAGTCCAACAAATAACATGCTTGAATATACACTATATGTAAGATTGCAGCAAATTTATTATTTAAGCAAATAAAGACCAATCAACAAAATTTAAAAGTGAAACTAATATTTTTTAAGGAAATGAATGTGACAAAATTATTCCATTGTCCACAAATTAATTAAATAGGAACAAATTAAACTGACTTCATAAATATATGTTATATAATACTTTTTTTTTAACTAACGCTAAATAAATTTTTGTGCGATTGTGACATTTTTAACTGAAAGGGTGCTAAAAATAATGATGCAATAAAAAGTGTTTAAGTTGTAAATGGTGATGTTTTATAATAATTATGATTGTATTTCAGTTTTATCTTTTTTATGATATTTTAAAGCCAGTGATATATTATCTAACAAATATTACACGTTAACTTACTTGTAAGAACCATATTAAATTTTTATTGGTATCAGTTATTTTCACATATTTTTGACTTAGATATTTTGTGTAGTTTAGCCCCTCGTCTTTGTTTTCGGTATAAAAATTGTGGTCTGTCGCTATAATATTTAGTAAGCTAGCCATAAATATTGATATAATTAATAACACACATAATAAAGAAATAGCGGCCTTTGAAAAAATCATATTGTTTTAACTGTAAAAAGTGGACAATTACACTAGTTCGATCTAAATAACAGTAATTGAAAAGTTTTTAAGGTCTTTCATAATACTAAAATACAAAACCAAATTATTGAATACGATAACCAAAAGTCAATTTAATTTAGTTCAACAAAGACAAGAATTCTGTTCTGCAAGAAACGGTTCACAATTCACAAACTTACAGCTGACACCTGACACTGACAGACAGTGACAGTTGTAAAAATATGACATGTTTGATAAGGGATAAGATTTTAGTGCTGCCACTTTATACGTAATATTTTTTTCTAGCAACACATTAAAAAGAAAAATGGCAGACGTGTAGTGTGCAGAATAGGAAAATATGTGAAATAACCCTAAGATCCTTGTGGGTTAGGCTCACAAGGATCGTATGGCAGTTCAATTTTACTTATGCCCACCGTATCACGTTATATACTCTACTGAACTACCTCTTAGGCATGATTCTCAATGAGTCCCTAACAGGAAAGCAAGAAGAATTTAAAAATCAATATATTTCACAGCCTCGCGGTCTCAGGTCTCAGTCTTAAAACGTAAATAAATACCTATAGATGGAGTGTTTTATACACGTTTGACGATTAGTCGACGACCATTTTCGAAATGTCAACAGCTGCGTGACGAAAACGTATACCAGTGCAATTAAATTTTTACCCAACTCGGGAAAATGCAGCGTTTAAAAATTTAAAGTAAAATTAACTAAACCATTTGTAAATCGCCGTTGTTTTATTATTATATGCATCAAAAACCAATTTTGAATCATTATTTAATTTAAACAACACAAATTAGAGTAGGTACACACCTACCTAACTGTGCCTATAGCAAAGGGAGACGGTTAGCACTCCTCTTAACAAAGGCACAACAACAATTGAACTGAAAAATGCTATTTAAGCGTAGTCGTAGATGCTTAAATTTTTGACACTAACATTTATATCGGTTTTCGGTAAAAATTTTAACATGATCGTATTCTACATTAGAATTCCTTCTAGTTGCAATATTACTTGCCGAAACTAGCCCAATATAGTTTTATCATCATTTAGTTCAGTCCTAATAGGTATTAAGAGTACTACGCAGTTATAGACACTGATAAGGGGTTGGTTCTTTCGACAATGATCTTCGAGTCATATAAAACTACTATTCTCTGCCAACAAATATAAAGTACTTAAATCCTACGATCCTTGTAAGAATTGTATTGAATTTATGTTGCCATAGAATTCTTCAATGGTTCATTGTTTCCTAAACGGCCGTAAACGCTATTGAATACGCATATATGTATGTACTTAGCTGTACTCGGTATTGGGAGGCGGAGTGTTTTGAAGTACATTATATTAATTTTAACGCTCGCATTCCATCCAAGACGCCGCGAAGTCGCGCAGCCGGCGTGAGGCGCGAGGAGAGGCGCGGCGCAGCGCCTCGCCCGCGAGGCCCCACTCCGAGCGCAGCCTACAGCCGCGGCCGGTACCCGCGCCCGCGCCACTATCTTGCCGCATTCCACGGAGCCGCAGTCGGCGCGCCCCGCGCGTGCCTTCGTGCCTTCGCCGACCCACGCGCACTCCTCGCCTCGGTTCGCTTGCTTGTCGCTTCACTTAGTCGGTTCTAAGCGCTCGCAGAGTATGCGCATTTGCGCCGCGCGACGTATCGTGCTTACGAGATCGCAAATATAGTGTGCAGTGCAGTGCTTATGCGTATTCGTGACGCCAGTTTATTGTGTTATAGCAATTGCCATTGGATTTGTTTATTGATGGTGAGTGAAGTGGTTCTACGATACGCTGTAGACGGCCGCCGTGGAAGCGCGCGCTTTCACGATGCGGCCACTTTCATTTCATACACATAGCTCGAATTCCGCGCGCCCGCGCCGTCCACTCCGCGGCCGCTGACCCTGCGCCCGCGCGTCCTTTACACCAACACTGCTGCTGAGCTAACCAAGGGCCGAGAGCCAAGACATTGGTGACTGACAAACCGGCACATAGTGCAAGTACTAGCGTATATAATGATCATTTTCGTATTGGTCTACCCGCTACAATGGTCCCATATCTAGGAAAACTTGCGTCGAAAGGCGTAAAGAACTTGGAACTGCTATTACAGTATAATTATACATACTACATAGGTATAGGTACATTATATATGTCCCAACTCACCTCCAATGACATGTCATTTATATTATGTTTTGTACAAGTTCTACTAGACTAGAAAATGTCATCTTTAAAACGTTGGTAAATTGTTCTTTATAATTTATTTACTTAAAAATGATAATGTTTCAAACATTAAACAAAGTTTATAAGCCAGTTTCGTATCCCCTGACATTTTATCATACCAGGGCTTGAAGATGATATCTAGACATTCTAAATTACATGAAACTTTGCAAAGCATTTAATCAAATAATAATTTCCTACAAAGAAATGCTACACCGGAATATGATAGTTTCAGATGAGCTGTGGTTTGAAGACAATCACGTTCTATGGAAATGTTAGGTAGATACCTATATATTCAACTCCTGAAATATTTAGTTGCCTAGTAGATTTCCTACCTAGTGCGCGTTTAAAGTTTAAACAACATACTAAATAACATACAAGGCACAAAATTACTCACATTGTGTTGAATATAGAGGAATATACCATAGGGTATTTGAACCATAAAAACCCGTTTAAAATTACGTTGATATGATGTGTAGTATAAACTATAAAAGATGAATATTGACTATTCCATGATTTTATCAAACATTTTTTCAGTAAAACTCATAATATTTACATAGCATGTTGCTAATATAATAAACTTATAAGCACTGATAAAACAGCATAAAATTACCAGTTACCCTTGACCAGTTTTTAATTTTTACGAATATACTTATGTGAGTCATATTATACATATATCTAGCCAAAACAAAATTTACTAAGAAGAAAGTAAACATGTTTTACCAGTTGTATGAGATCTGTACTTACCTTGAAGTTATTATTACCGAACTGCGTGTTAAAAAATTAAACTTGTAATGGTGATGAACATCGCGTGTTTTGTAATACCAACATTTTTTTACAAAATTAATTTCAACATTTCCCAATTATTAATTAATATTATTCTGTATATTTTACCAGTGTTTTATCGCTACGAACTCACATATAGCTTGTGTACATATGCGTTTTACGTTTTTAATTGTATAAAATTTAATAAATGCAACGGAAAACCGATTTGCGTGAAGCTAGCTAACCGCACGTTCAAATTGCTTCAGTGATTGATAAATTAAATGATTCATTAGCTCACAAACAGGCTAGGTACCGGCGCGACCGCATTCCATTGATAGCATACTGTATAAATAAAACTCACGAATGACAAGAGGTAGACGTCAGCTAGCATAAAAATTAATATCAATGTAATTGTAATTAATAACAATGTAATTTTGTAATGTACCTAATAGATATTGTGTTAAGAGACAATTTTACATCAATTTTTTAATGAGTAGGTTACTAGTTTAGTTACGCTAGACTTGTAATATACAGGTTCTGGGATTAATACTCGCCACATACCAATTTGTTATTGGATTATAGAATTTCTTATCTTCCAATGTCAAAAGAAACTATAGATATATGAATGTCGTAATCGTAATCGAAAGACCCGTACCTTAGAATAGTTTTGAACTCGGTGGGATGACTAGTAAACATTATTGTGTTTTAATTTAACCTTCTTATTTTATCTACGATAGCCTCGTTGTTACAAAACTATATTACCACAGCCAATTTAATCTCTGGCCACTTTGTATCGTTGTGTTCCCGCTATTAGGATAACTACGTCATTTACCAGGGGGATTAGAACATCTCTGTTTTATCAAAGATAATGAGCGGGATCACGTTTTATACAGAGATTTTGGTCGCAGAAACCAATGTTTACTTGTCAATTTCTTAACTTGAAAACATTTGTACTCTATACAAATAGAATAATTGTCGTCACTGAGAAAAGTTGACAAATTTTTAAAATTTTCTTAACCATGTAAAAGTTTTTATTTGATACAAAGTAACTCTTGTCCTACCTTGAACTCATCCGGTGCATGCTACAGGCAGGCTTGATCAAGATGAATATCAAGGAGGATCAAGTTATTCAGCATTTCTTCTAAAGAGCTTATCGCTTCTAAAGAGAAATCCACGTACTACTACTAGAAAACATCAATGTTTTGTTCTTATTCCCAATACTCTTCCAATACCCGTCAATGTTTGCTTTGATCCCAAGCTCTGAAACGAAGCCACAAATTACCTTATCATTGTATCGTATCTTGTTTTGTCGGACTTAGTTTCTGTGACAAAACTGTAACCTCATCCCATTGCCCTTACAGCTCGTGCCGATATTTCATTTTGATGTTCATTTGATGTGGAAACACAAACTGTTTAGTGATGTACTCATTCAAAGACAATGAAGAACATGATAATGAAAATAACAAACAATGAGAGCAACGAAGATAATATTATTGTCTTAGGCATATCTAGGCTACGTCGGACACGTCATGATCATGAATAACCGAGAAGTAAGCATATATATCCTTCAAACAAAACACAGTATTTTGTTTGTTAAAAATGGTTGTGAGTTTTTATTTCTTTTAGATAAATATAAAAACATTAATTAGCATTCCATAAAATAGTTTATTATGCATTTTTCCGAATTTGGGAAAAAATTTCGTTATACTGGTATACATTTGCCTTACGCAAATTATGACATTTCGAAAAATTAAACATCAAACTTGTATGAAACCATCTATAAGTATACTGCCATATAAAACTAGATGTGTTCCGCGTTTAGGAATATTCTTGTGTAACGCGCTTTTACTAGTTTAATATCTTTTAAAAGAGATGCTTCTGTCGAAATTGTTATATGAATAACAAGATTTCAATAAAATTAAGTTGAATTATTTTTATAATAATTAAACGCAATTGATATAAAGTGCAAGGTACGTAAAACTAATTATAGTCTGTGCAAATCATTATAAATTTGACAGTCTAGAAATATAAAGTGGGAAATCTCTGCGTTATCTGGGGGTATACCTGTTTTATACGAGAGATAATATGTATGTTCAGGTGGTATGCATAAACTTATTATTATCTAGACGAGCCGATAATACGTCAAACTTATATGAAATATATCAATCTAGAGGTAGGACATCTATGGCTGTATGGTTTATGAAAGACTACAACTTGTTCAACTACTGTTATGAATAATATTAATAACAAAAGTTGGTAACTCGTGTGAAGCTTTAGCTTAGTTTAACCTTAAATTGCAATCTAAAACCAATAAACGACAATACTTAATTTGTATGTATACCTTTTGCCGTAGTTTTCTGATTTTTTTTTAAATTTAGCACACACCTTTAGTCCTGATGTCAATACAATTTTTCATATTCATTGTCATTGTAAATATAAAATAGCTGTCATTACAAAATGGCTGATGGCATATTTTTTAACAACCCCTCGACATGGGTATCAAATGATAAGATTTGGCTAATAGGACAAAGTAGTAAAACCAAATTAAAACATTAACTATAAACTTAAAAATTAATTGATTGCAGAAGGAATTGGCTTAAATATTTTTTTTTATTTGTTGCTCTTGAATTTTTATAAAACTGATGTACGGGAAAAACGTGCCAAACAATTTGTTCTAGGTCTAGTTGTTTAGATAAAACTAATATTTGTTTGTATCATGAACTTGCTTGAATACATTTTGGTAAATCTTTTTCTCCAAAAAAGGTCAACTTAATGTTTGACAACGATTAATTGTGAATTTTATTTCACATTACATGAATTTTATTCAAATTATCATCTTACTCTCGTCTTATTATTTTTATCAAGATGCCAACTTTAGCGAGGCGTCGAAAAGACCGGTTAAACAAGGTCCACACCGGCAATTTACAACCAAAAAAAAACAAACGTATTTACATAAATTTCCAGGGCCGCACAGCCCATAGACGACGGCATTCCTCGAGATTCCATTATCGTCATAACAATGCGCAAGTGTCAAAAGTGTTGGCAAGATGTCGAAAAGTGGAGGCAACGACGACCATCGGTATGCGAGGACGCAAGATGCGGTCTGCGCGGCGGGGGGCGGGGTGGAGGTAAAGGGGGAGGGGGCTCGGCATCTGAAGGTCGTCCGCATTCCACGCGTCGCCGTCCGCGGCTACCGCGCTTACGTAGCGCCCCCCTCCCCGCGGCCCGTTCCCGCCGCCCGCACTCCGCGACCGGTTGCCCCCACCCGCCGCGCCTCACCGCCATCACAGACTATCGCGCATTTACTAAAACAAAAAACTTGTTCTTATAGCTATCAAGAGCCAAAGAGCCGCTGAGGTACCGGATGCGATGAAATTTATTCGCATCTAGTTTTTTTTTTAAAGAAGCTTGTGGTGCTACATTCCAAGTATCATGTTTATATACAAAATGTACATAAAGTCCACGTACGCATTTTAAGAAAACACACATCTTAATTTTATATACGAAAACAATGTAACAGGAAATAGAAAAAAAATATTAAATACTGAAATTAATCCATCCCACGGGATCCTTACATTTTGTCTGGGTGCAAGATAGTTTATAGGTTATTCCAGACAGTAAATATATATTTTAAATTTCATCCAGGTTCGTAAAAATCCAGTCAAACCATGACAAGATTTTTTAAATCTTTTCAACTTTGTCCAATACGTACGGTGCAATTGCCATTTTCGCCCAAGTAATCTGAGGTACTTCGGTGTCTTTCCCGGACACACAGAATAATATGAATTATCTCTTCACATTCAAATATCTCCTTGTCACCTACAAATCTCTCCTCTTAACATACCCAAAGCTTTTTATTTGTTTCTTAATTTCTCTATAACCGTAATTCTATCAATGATGACGAAATAAATGTATTAGACTGTTGCCCTACTTTGATTTTTCTATGTTAATAGTTATAACCAGTCTTATAACTCAAAATTACATTTTAGTTTTATCCAGTTTTATTTACGATGTAGCAAACATGGGTTTGTACGTAAAACATTCCTAAATTTTGTTTACATCATATTTAACAATCAACCTAGACACTTGCCTATATTTACTAAAATATTTCGTGAAAAGAAATTAAGTTCTAAAAAATCACATTTAAAATAAAAAATTTAAAATATGTTATTTCTGCTGGAGTTCGCATCTCACATAAATTTTAACTGTATTTTAAATAATAATATAAAAGTCACTTGAAAAATAAAAGTGCCATGTAAAACAAACTTTTAGGTCAAAAGTCTATTGTACTATAAAACCCGAACAACTTTGTTTTAAACAAAGTTTGCGTTGAAGCAGGTAGCAGAAAGCAAAATTTATAAAAAAAAAGATTGGAATGCACAGATGGTGGCGGTACATCCCCTTCGGCATTAGAACTGCAAATGTACATTTTAAATACAATATCCGAAACTGTTTTTGCTCAGGTTATTTCTTTCGTGAATTTAATTTCCTTATATGATATTTAATATCAATCAATCAATCAATCAAATATACAAATTAAGGAGTGATGTTCACATAAATCGTAAGCATTTTTACTAATAGTTGCGAGTGCCATAAAATATACTTCATTACTTCATACACAAATTGTGATTTTTAAAAATAGCACGTCTTCTTACTTACAATGACAGATCTTCCACGTTTGGATAAACATTCGTACAAGTTGACTTTCCCGTTTTAGGTCTAGTTTTGATTTTAAGTCAACTAGCGTTGATGTTAAGGAAGTTATTTTGTTGTTTCCAGAGCGAGTAACAGTTGTCTCGAGATGCGACATGCGCGCTCTGTGTTCGGTTCGCGGGCCGCTCGGGGAGGGCGGAGAGCGCGCGCTCGCGGCCGGCGCGCGCCTGCTGGCCCTGCGCACGCCCGCACACCCGCAGCCGCTGCACTTCGTCGTCGAGGCCAAAGCAAGAGTCAAACAACTCAAAACGCTGGCCGATTCTCATGCACAGCTACAGGGCATGACCGACACCGAACTCTTTGGATTAGCAATCATGCAAAGTAAATTACTTTTTGAGGTAAATTCTTATAAGATTTTTCTCGAATCGCGTACTAATAAACTTCACTTTCAGATGGCGAGTATCTGTTTGTTGATGTGGAAAGCAAACTATCAAAATATGCACCAAAGAGTTGGAGATCATCTCATACACATGTAAGTTATTTCTACTTGTAATATTTTTATACTTAAATATTAACAATTCTACATGTTTACAGTAGTGCCAAATCCTATATTTAAATTAAATGTTTCTCTGTTTATTATTTACAGGGCTTGGATGCAAATGGAAAACCATTGCTTGAGCTCCACCTAGTCGTACAGTTTCACGTAGAAAGTCCACTTTTGTTGCCCGATGAAGGCGGCCGACATTTATATTTTTTACAATTGCTACACAATTTACGAACAAGAGATGGATTGCCAGCCGAGGTTGTGCTGTTACTTATTGGGCTAGCTCTACAAGCGAAATATGGAGATGCTGAAGCATATGATGACCGGGATTATTTCAAATTGGAAGACTATGCACCTTCTTCGCTTAATGGGGATTGGGTAAATGCAGCTGTACGTGGTTGTCATCAAGAACACAAAGGTTTGTCTAAAGCAGACGCAGAGACCAGATTTATACGCGAAATATGCCTACTTTCAGATACAATAAACTCTCACAGGTATCGTTTAAAACAAACGAAAACAGAATCAGAACCAGGGACAGTCTGGCTTTTAGTTACTGCGAAAGGAATAAAAATATTACCTGATAGTGGACCAGTATCGAATTTCATTTGGAGCTCAATAGGAAAATTAAGTTTCGATAGAAAGAAATTTGAAATTCGCACTGAACTAGGAAAAATTACACTGTATTCTTCAAGCGAAGAAAAATGTAAATATTTGTTTGCACTATGCAAAGAGACTCACCAATTCTCGATGAAGATTTCTTCAAAACTCAATGAGATTTTGAGGCGCGAAGAAGAAGAACGTAAAATTTGTTACGGATATTCCAAAACGCTCAATTTCCAGTTTTGTCAGAACAAAAGTGAACAAAGGATATCTTTAATATCTTCGACTAGCTCAAACACAACATCGGGAATTGTCAGCGACAGAGTCCAATCGGAGGACGAGTTAGAAATTATGATCGACTCGCCCCCAGCACCTTCAACGGAGAGTTTAGCGTTTGCTCACTTATTAGACTGCTCAAATTCATACCTTATACGACACATGCCGCAAGATAATCAACCTTTAAAGAAAACATCATCTTTACAATTACAGAAGGCTAAAATGCGCGTGAAAAAAAAAGACGAAGGGGAGAGTTCTTTTAACAATGAAGTTACGGTAGAAAGACCAAACTCCACTTGCCAAGATGAAAATAATTCATTGAATGATCAAAGCCCCAATGAAACTTTATTAGACAGCCCTGTTTCTGGAAAGATTAAATGTCCCGGGTCCCAATGTTCGTCCTCTTGCAGCACGGTTATTATGAATCGAGCGGGTCTTAGCACCCTAAGCAGAGCATCCAATGGAAGCAGCTTGGAACTAAGTTTTAATCATACAGCTCAGAATTCAATGATTAGTGACAACAGTACAGAAGGAATTGACGTAGAGTACAGTCAAGATACAGCGTCAGCTCTATATGACGGTTTAGGCCAACCTGCAACAATTGCTGCCTCTAGTGAAACCAGTGGGGTTTACACTATGGGTAGCTCCGAACTCACAACAAGATCGAAAACGTACACAATGTCTGAAGACTGTAGAACTGAATACGGAAGTTCACATTACGACAGTTATAAGACACCGAAAGAAAATGATCTTGCTGATTTCGATAGTGTTTCTTCCATCTTAAAAAATAAATCTGAGAGAAACATGATGACGTCTAGTACTCTGCGCCTTCAAGCTTCGTTATCAAATGCTGATTGTGTCGACGGTGTCAACGCGTTTTGCAATCAAGACCATGTTGACAAAGACAGTCTTTATCGAGAACGTGCAAATTCTAATGTTAGTGCCATTTCTTTTCATGGTGATGGTAGTGACCCGACGGATAATAAACGTAATTTACTAAGTGCAAGTGAGTTAAGCGATCTGATAGTAGGGCGAGGTGTGTACCCAAAAAATCAATCCGTAAGTGACACATTTGATTCGGTGTCGGACTATGTTAGATTGCCCTTACCGTTTTCTGGTGATAGTTACCTTCAAGGACACGAAGATACAGCTCCCTCAGATGACAACTACCTTAATAATGCATTTTTCGATAGACCTCCAACGCCACCGACGAGAATCGATAGCCGTAAGTCTCATAATCTGTCCCTACCAAATATTTTAGAAATCGATGGAAGCTTGCCAGTCCCACCAACTTTTCCGGAAAAACCGCCGCCACCTTATGAATATAATCACAAAACCCTTTCGTCTCTCAATACAGACACTAAGCCTCCACCAGCTTATCCTGGAACAACTGGTGTAACTAGAAAACAAAAAAGCGACAAAGAAGAAGTGGCAGCTAGAGTTGTGACTTCTAAACCGATGATAACAATTCTAAAAGCGGAGGCAGGTGAAGTGAATACTTCTAGCGAACGGACATTTGCTAGCCCTATGGTCTTAGAACACAGATTTCAGAAATCGAAAAGACATCAAGCTTCTAGTCGTAGAGCAGAAAGGTCGAAGTTAGCACAAGGAATAACCAATAGTCTGTCACCATCGCGGGAAATACCACTGCACGGAGTAGATTCAAACGTGTTTGTAGCAATGATGAAACTCCCCCCGCCCCCGCCGCCGCCCAGACACTCTCGCCTACCTCCGCCGCCGCCCGCTGCACGCTTGCCGCCACCACCTCCGCCGCTAAATCCAGTCTTTCATCAACAACTGTACAGTGACGTAGATTACGTTTACTACCCACTTCAGGATCCTGCAGTATCCCAACAAAACTACCTTGATCATAAATTTACAGAATCCCGATTATCAAATATCCATAAAAGTAACATTCAGTATCGTAGTACACCATATCTATCGACTTCTCTATCTGCCTCGTCCACCTATGGATCGATACAAAATCTATCCGATTCATACATCCAAACACCGGGTGTGCGGACTAGTTGGTACTCGATGACCAGCAGGACGTCGCTCAGTTCCCATTCTATAAATTTCGAGAGGCCGCCCTTACCGCCGACTATTCCAGATATCGCTACTTTTTCCAGAACTAAATCTCAAGAAAACATTTTGAGTGTCAAGGATCCACCACCCGTGAAACTGAGACGCATGCCTCCACCGCCGCCTCCACCGTACGAATACAAGAAGAAGTTGCCCACGCAACTGAGAGAAGCAAAAATTCCGAATTTTAATGTTAATGTTAATAGCGATGTTAAAGTCGTTAAAAGTAGAGATTCTAATTGTGATTTAGATATAAAAACACTTAGGGAAAAAAGCAAGAACTTAGATTTGCCGTTAATAGCAGCGTTATGCAACGATCGTTCGTTGTTAAAGCAAACGAAAGCTTTTGGTGCTCCAAAGTTGGTTAAACAAACAGGTAGTGACTGTGAAAGTGAACTTAAAAGTGCCAAGCCCGTTCAACACACCACCGATACCGTAGATCTTAAGAATAAACAAGAAATAAACACTAGAAGACCCGTCCCCGTACCGGGAACTCAGAAGAAAATTGTAATGCGTAATCCAACTGACAAACTTCCAGCATTGCCCGGTGCTGAAACTCATACACCTAGAGCATTATCTAATACATACGTAATGCATCCGAATGTCGCCGTTAAAAGCAAAAAAATTCAGCCTAATATGTGACATTAAATTCCAACTTATTTCTTGTGAATCCTTCCAGTGCTATGAGCCTCATATACACATCATAACCTAAAAGACTGAGATTAGTTAGATATTTACGCTGACTCGAATTTTCGTTTTAAACATTAACTAATATTTTAAAATCATTTGTTTATTACGAAATTCGATTTAATGATGATTATATCTTTCATTAGTACAAGTTGTATGAATCAAATGTAAAGAAAGATATTTTGATGTGTATGTATAATTAGGAACCAAAATATACACTTATTTTTTTATTACCATGAAAGTATTTTTACGTCACCCTAAATAAACTCTATTATAATAAACATTAAGACATTCCAATAGCTCAATATATTTTTGACCAATCTCAATACATGCCATATTTCTATTGAAAGTTTTCTATTTTTGTATAATATTTTATTTGAAGACGTATGTTTCGTTATCGGATTTACTAATTCGTAAAAATATGTTTAAACGCAAGTAAATATGAACACATATAAAATTTCTTGAAGAAAATTTAAACTAGAGTCAAAACTTTATTTTGCAGTTTCTGTTAAAATGCAACTTTTGTAAATGCTGGAAGCTTTGTTGAACTGTTTTACAAATTATTTATTAAAATTTGTTCATTTTAAATTCTCTATTAAATAGCGAATTTTCGTTGTAATAATAATAATAGTAATACTCAATGAACATACATAGATATATAATCTATAGATCTGGAGCACACGTTAAAAGAAAAGAGATTGCCTTTTAGTGCGGTAATTTCCCTCAGTGTTGTCAATTATAATACAAAATTAAATTTGGCAAATCGACTTTCAATTAGACGTCAAACTTGTATAAAACACTCCATCTGTAGGTTATATATCAATAGTTTTATATAAACCAGAGATATGAAGGTATGATGAACATATTAATGTAAAATCGGATGTTTAGTCGTAAAAATAATAGTAATGTAATAATTTTCAACTATTTATTGACTACAGTCATGTATATATACCACAACACTATTATAATAAGTACATTATATTTTCTACGTGTACAAATGTATAATAAAAATCTTTAGTATAAAGCATGATTTTTTGTTTCTATGGTAACTTTTTATCTTTGGTCTTAGAGATCGAAAGAGCTACAGGTAAAACCTTAATATTTTAAAATACTGAAAAATATATCTTTGATAATGTTATAGTCAATATTAATGATAAAATAAAAAAATAGTAAAAAGAATCTAAAATTACAATAAACAAAACAAGGCTAATACTACAAAAATGTATAGTTTAACTACACAAAGATTCAAACTTGAGTATACATCAAAATAAAATAATATTCAATTTAGGTGTTTCACGTAAAACTAAAACTAACAAATAGATGGGTTAGTTGAACTATAAAATTATATTATTCATACGCCTATTTTCACTCAAATACTTATACATACTTTGATTGTTAGTCTAAAATATTAATATTTTACTTTTCTAATTTTAAAATCATTGCAGAATTTGGTGAAAATGTAACATTTTCAAAGTATAGGACTTCACCAATAGAGGAATCATTTGTGCTGACCATGATTGCGCCACTGTAAAACATTGATGATAGATCTGTTGAAATTGACTTACCACCAAAGTTTCCAATAAAAACGCAACTGTTGCGCCGAGGAAACCAACGTTCAATAATAATCAAATTCTCTTCAGTAATACGAATTTTCATATTCCTAGCTGCACTACCATCTTTGAAAATAGCTCTCAAATAAATTGTCGGTGTCTTCAATCTAATTTCAATAAATTTCTTTATAATGTTTAAATAATGATATCTAGGTCCAGATATAGGTTTTGAATTCCACGGTAAAATGGATGCACTCTCATTATTACCAGTAAAACTCATACTTACTAAATTATGAATTTTATTATATTCATGAAAATCTTTTTCAGCTTCATTTTTAGATAAACCTTTCAGACCTATTTCATCGCCATAAAATAAACTTATAGTACCAGGTAATGACATTTCAAGAGCTGTTAAAGCTAGAGTATTATTTGAAAATCGAGAAGAAACCCTTTCACTGTTAACATTACCAACATTCCACAGAATCCATGGATAATGTGCTTTAGCCCTTAAAGTTCCAAAGACAACTTTATCAATATGGTTTTTCAAGCCTTTAACACCTTCATTTAAATCTAAATGAACATCAATAAGGTCTATTCTATTAAGGAAAACTGTAAGATGATCACCTTTAGTTAACTCTAAAGCTTTTTCACTAGCAATCAGAATTTTACCACCTCCAATAATATGCTTCCAAATCTGCAGTGACTTTGCAAAATTCACATCTTCAACAAAGTTTTCCAAATTTTTTAAGTAAAATCCATCTACATTTTGTGCTTGGGACCAAAACTTAATAGCAGCAGACATGTCACTGAAGCCTACTGATGTATCATTTGTCAAAAGTGAAGTATGGTTAGAATTTTTAGTTTCTATAGATGCAACCATACTTAAAACTGGGATATCTAAAATGATGTACATTTCTTTATCATGTATTGCTTTTACTAGATCTTGAAAATCTTTTAGAACCCCCAAACTTCTATCAACTTTAAGTAAGTAGGTTGTATGATTATAATTTTCAGGGTAATCTTGAGCTTCAAATATATAATTAAGTCTCACTGTATTACACCCTAAATCTTTGATATAATCAAGTTTTTTTATAAGACCTTTTAAATCACCAAATCCATCATCATTTGAATCTTTGAAACTAGCTGGAAATACTTCATAAAACACTTTACCTTGGTGCCATGGCAAATCTGGATCACATGATTTAGGAATGGTAATGACCATAGCTATTATTGCCCCTAAACAAGCCACAAGCCCAGAGATAACTACCCACAATAATATTTTTCTAATAATAACCCAGTTCCAATTCACAAAGTTTGGTAATTTTCTATTGTTTACATTCAGGTTCCCATTGATTTTACAACCTTCAGGCTGAAATAAAAAAAGTAAAAAGGTAATATAAAGCCTATTTCTTCAGGAAATAGACAAATTTATCTTCTGTGTTATTAAATGAGTTAACACAGACCACATCCCACTGTACATTTCCCATATCTATTCTACACTTCTTTTAATAACAAGCTTGAAACAAATTATGTTAATTTTAATACTTACTTGGCCAACAATAAGATCACCATTTTTACTAAGAGTTTGATAATCCAACATACTAATGTTGTTTATTAACTGTGCACTGACAGGATCTTGAACCACAGAATTGGAATCTCCAGATGAGCTAGAATCACCAGCAGAAGCATCTGCAAAAAGAATCTAATCTCTAATCCACTGTAAGAAGTAAGAATGTAAAGAATATATATACATGCCTTTGAAATATATAATGTGCTGTATTGCAAGTTAGTTGCATAGATATGTTTTAAATATGTAACATTCATTGTTCTAAAAAAAACTAATAAATTCATAGTCACCTGAATTTTGCATTGCATTGGTAATCTTGGAATCTTCTGCTATATTAAGGAATTGTCCTTCATTCATTTCTTCTGAAAGAGGATGCTTAAAGTCTAAAGGAGTGGGACTTGGAGTCATGGGCAACAATAAGCAAGTTGAAGATTTTACACCTCTAAGGTAATCGATGGTTTCCAAATCAGTAGCTTCATTGCTGCAGCTCGTCTCAGGTAAATCATTCATTTTTGCTTCGTTCGTAAAACTACTCTCATAAGAAATTGAAACTGAACCACGATATAAAACAACCTATAAGTGTTTGTATTAAGAATTATATTTTGAAACACTTTGTAAATAAACTGAAAGGCTTACAGTACTGTCTTAGCCTTGGCTAAGTTACTTATAAGAGATGAGCTTTTTATAGCTTTCGCTTTCGGCCAAAAATTTATACTTTTGGCATCTTGTCAAAATTGATTTTTGACAGTTGACAATCAATAGGGATGGAATGCAGGCAAGCGAAACTTTTATAATCTGTGCTACAAATAGAACGCAAACGGAGATCCTCTATCTTGAAAATTGTGTATCTATCTCATAACTTGTTCATTGAAAATGACAATTTTTATTCTCCGTTTGTGTATCTAATTAGTCAAGAGTCCCATCTCTTATATAATAATAATAATAAATCTTTTTATTCAGACACATGGTCCATACAAAGCAAAAAATACAAATTTAAAATTCAGACAAAAATAAAAACACAAAAACACAAAATAAAACAAAACTCTTCAGATTACATGCAGACGTGTCCACATGGCCAGCACTGGACAGTCCAATCCTACTCTATCAGCAATGAGTTGTAGGTAGCTGTTGGCGCTGTCCCGCACCCGCCGCATCAGGGATGCTGCTCTCTTCCTGATCAATGCGGCGAAGCCGTCAACACCAGCATCAGCAAACATCCCAGACGCGCTGCAGAAGCGCGGCAGCCCCAACAGGACCCTAAACCCATTGTTGTATTGAACCCGCAAGGCATTGTAAGCCCTTTGCGAACGCTTGACCCATAGGCTGCACGTATAAAGGGACTGACAGTAAGCTTTAAAAAGTGTAATTTTCACGGGTTTGGTACATCGTGCGAACCTACGAGCCAACATGTTCGCTCTGACTGACAATGCCCTGCGTTCTCTTTCTATATCTAAGTCATCATTAAGTGTATCCGTGACCCAGTGCCCCAAGTACTTCACTTTCTCCACTCTCTTGAGAGGATGGTTGTTCAATATGACTGGTGGTATGTCATATGTCTTCGAGCCGGCTTTGAAGATCATCACTTCACTCTTAGTAGAATTGTACTTGAGACCCTGAGCTTCGGCGTAGCACTCGCAGATGGAGATCAATTTACGAAGACCGCTCAACGATGGGCTCAGCAGTACCATATCATCGGCGTAGCTTATATTATTTATCATGGTGCCATCTATGGAACAGCCTATACCAGTACCGCTGAGCTCACGGATTAGTCCATCCATATAAAGGTTGAAAAGTCTGGGTGATGTCAGCCCCCCTTGCCTCACCCCCCAGCTCAGTCTATACTCATCCGATACCGCCTCATCCCACTTAACATAATTGGTTTGATTAGAATACCAGCACTTTAATAGGATATATACTATTTGATGGAATGGTTTGGGTAAAATCAGTATAGAACTGTAGATGGTATGGATCATCATTATATTAACTTTGTTATCACAATGTAATTTTATCCGGTGGGTCTATAACACTTTTACTACTGATTACTGATAACAATAAATTGGCACTATCCTTTTTTTCATAGGAAGACATCCATATCTTAGGGGAATAGTACTGGGGTAATAAATCTGTAAATGTTTTCAAAATGACAGCTGACAGAAAATTGTTGATGTTTTTGACGTTTGATGTTGACGTTAATAAATTGACAAGAGAATGTGTCAATATAATCAAATCATAAACGAATCATACGAAATAGAAAAATCACGTACCAATTAGATTAGAATATTGAAACTATGTTAGCTTAAATTTTTGGTTTATGAAATAGGCTTATAGGTATGTAGTTCAATAAACTAAATAGTATATTACTCCTATATTTTTAAGCCACCGAACCGATTTACGATTACTTTTATTGCAATGATATGTATTTCTTTTAGGAACAGCTGAACTTTAAACCCGCTGTTTATAATACAAAGTAAAGTGTTATATTCACATACTAACTTCTTACAATTATTAATTAAATAGTTTTGAAAGTAATTTCTATAAGACATCTAAAATTTAAAAGATATAAACTTTTAAAATATAACAATGCTTTCACTTAATAAATTAAGAAAGTGTGATGTTGCTGCTTTTGTAAAATTTTATAGAACTTTTACTAGTAAAAAAAAAAATGTTAGAGACATCGATTATCAATATTTACAAAGAAGCAAAGTGCCTACAATGCACTTTCAGAAGTCCTTACCTCGTTTGCCTATTCCTGAGTTATCAAAAACAGGTGACAGATACCTCAAAGCATTACAACCTCTTTTATCCAATGATCAATACACAGAGGCTGTGCGAAGGACACAGGATTTTATATCCAAGGATGGGAAGGAGTTGCAAGAAAAACTTATATTGAAAGATAAAGTCAACAAACATACAAGTTATATTTCAGAGTACTGGTTTGATCTTTATTTAAGAGATCGTGTACCTCTTCCTATTAATTACAATCCGCTAATAGTGTTCCAAAATGATTCCAAACCAGGATACAATGATCAATTAATACGGGCAACTAACTTGTTAACTAGTGCTGTAAGGTTTATGAACTCATTAAAAGATAATATCTTGGAACCTGAAGTATTTCATCTACAACCAAAGAAAAGTAATACACCTTTGTTTAGAAAAGTAACAGGCTTCCTACCTGAAGCTTTATCATGGTATGTTAACAAGCTATATTTAATTTAAGAAATAAAATAAATCTTACTATTATATATGCCAATGTTTAGATGGATGGATTTTTGTTGGAAGGTATCTCAAGAAACGGTTCTTGGAATTAAAATTTGTTACAGATGTAGAAAATAGTTTGGATGAACATATAGGCTTTTAATTAAATTTATTTTAATTTTGTGTGGACGGTGTCACAGGCAACAACTAGTAATAATACTATAAAGAAACTCCTATATCATATCTGAATTGTTTTGCAGTTCATATCAATTATATATACTTTGTTTTAAAACGTTTCTGTTTTGATTTAAATGAAAAATATGTTTTCTTTATATTTCCAGGTATGGAGCATATTTATTTAAAGCCTTTCCATTAGATATGAGTCAATTTGATGGATTGTTTGGAGCAACTCGCATACCATTGTTAGGTAAAGACAGAATCTACAGAGATCCAAAAAGCAAACATATTCTGGTTCAAAGGAATGGAAATTTCTACGTCTTTGATGTATTGGACGCAGATGGTAATTATTTTAAATAAAAACTAAATAAATGAGTGTTTTTTGCGAAAAATTCTCATCTATTACAATGTCTTATGTATAAGTAAAAGTAGATTTTATATTACAGGAAATTTGTTGTTACCTTCTGAACTCCTAGCTAATCTATCAAAAATCTTGAATGATAATACAGAGAAATCACAACATCCTTTGGGAGTATTAACCTGTCAAAATCGTGATACATGGGCCAAACAGAGAAAACATTTAGAAGAGACTGGTAACGGAGAGATGATGCAAAAAATAGACTCTGCCATTTTTAATCTTATATTAGATGATGTAAGCATAAGTGATGATAAACATATGTTATTAAAACATTTCTTGCATGCAGATGGAACAAACAGGTATTTACCTTACAAGAATTTTTTTCTTAAATAAGCTTAATATGTAAAATGTTTATGGAAAACTGGTCATTATACAGAAAAATCAAAGAAAAGAATTTATTGTTTGTCTGGATAGAATAATAACGAAGTTTTTAATTCCGTGCAAACAAAGGCGCGGGCAACTATTGGTATGAAATAATTATTTTTAAATATTTAATGTTGTATCAGTAAATAGAAAATATTTTTGTTTTCAGGTGGTTTGATAAATCATTTAGTCTTATTGTGACTAAAGATGGCTGTTCTGGTGTCAATTTTGAACATTCATGGGGAGATGGTGTAGCTGTGCTGAGATTCTTCCAAGAGCTTTACATGGAAACTACAACCAAGCCTTTTGTTCATCCTGATAGTAAACCAGTTAATACTAACATTACTGTAAGCAAGTTAGGTAAATGAACTAAATTTATTATGTATAATATGAAATCTTGATATTACATGTAACTATATAAATGAGGCTTTAGCCTTGTACATAGTATAGTGTGTATTGTGTATAGTGTTCAAGTGTTCCATCAAATCCGTCCACATGTTCAAATGTCCATACCCAAAACCATTAGGTTATTGGCATATCATATATTAAATTCTTATGTAACTATTGTGTAGAGCAACTTAATACTAGTTTTATTTTTTACAGATTTCAAACTCGACGATAAATCTATACATTTCATAGAGAACGCTAAAAAAGAATACAAAGAGTGGTGTGATTCACTGAGCATAGATTATATACTATACGAAGGTTTGAATAAAGAAGCATGTAAAAAGTTTAAAGTCAGCCCTGATTGTATAATGCAACTTGGTTTTCAGGTTAGTATTTAGACCATTTTCACACACACACATGCATGTGGCAAATTGACATTTAAAGTAACATATGAAGTAATGTCAATATACTTTATTTTTATCTGTGAGTATACAGCTGAGGGAAAATAAGCTGCCATCTCTACAATTTTATTAAAAAAAAATTACTATATATTGTGTAGTGTGTTTTGGCACTGAATTATCATGGTTAACTGTAAATCATTTTTATGCTGAATGGACATAAAATTGTCTAAAATACTTTTTTTTTGCAGGCGGCTTACCATCTTCTTCACGGGAAGTACGTGGGCACGTACGAATCTTGCAGCACGTCTGCTTTCAAGCACGGCAGGACGGAAACAATGCGACCTTGCACTGACCAAACTAAAGTAATTTGTTAAAAAAATGCAAAATTTACATTTTTGTACAATTTTTCTTTGAGTGAGTTTTATTGTGTTATTATATTTTCAGTTATTCTGCGACTCTCTACACTTAAATAAATGTTCGAAGAATGAATTACGTTCAATGATGCAAGAATGTTCATCATACCATACACAACTTGTGAAGGAAGCCGCCATGGGGCACGGTTTTGATCGTCATCTCTTCGCTCTCATGAAATTAGCCGAAGAGAATAACATATCAAGACCACAAATATATGATTCCTATGAATACAAGTATCTTAATAAATCAATTCTAAGTACAAGCACTTTGTCAGCTCCTAGTGTGATGGCCGGCGGATTCGGACCCGTTGCTAAAGAAGGTTTTGGAATTGGGTAAATCATTTTTATCTATTTATGTGTGTATGGCATACACTATTGGGCACAACGGCAGAGGTTTTATGTGTTAGTTTTTTATTTTTATTAAATACTAGCTGTCACCTGCGACTCCGTCCGCGCGGAATTAAAAAAAAAACATAATTAGTTGCCTGTGTGTTCTTCCAATGATACATGTTCTATATGTATGCCATATTTCATCGAGATAATTTCAGCCGTTATGGAGATACCTTAAAACAAACATCCATTCATATAAACATTCACATTTATAGTATTAATAAGAAGTAATGTTATGTTTCAGATATTCAGCGTTCCCTGACAAGTTGGGAGCAGCTGTGACAAGCTACAAGGCCCACAATGATAGTTCTCAATTCATCGAAGCTCTACATAAATCATTTATGGATATAACCAACATACTTTCTAGCTAATAATATCAAATTTATAAATATGGACCAAATAATAAAACTGCCAACTCTTCAAGTGCACTTATAAATTGTAGAAAATATATTTTTATGACCTATCATTTTTATTATTCTCATCATCAATGCAATATTATATACTAGAGTAAGTTTATACGAAAAGTTATTTAATAAATTTATGCTTTTTATAATCTTGTGTATTTATTGAAATCGTATGGTGTCGAGTATTTAAATTATCATTTCTCCCATCTCATTGTTAGCGCAATCACAAGGAGAAAACAAACTATGATCTAACTTGATGTAAGGAGACCGTAAAATAATGAAATATCCAAACATTTCAACCTACTCAGTTTTGCTTACTATTTTATACAAATTATCCTTTTTTTGATTCATATTCTATTGATTATGTTCCGCGCTACCCAAATATAGTTAAAAACCACTCAGCATCAAATGGCATTAAATGATGTTCTATTATCTGCATCTATGTTTTCGCATATTTATTTAAATAAAGATCGCTATAACCCTTGATATTAAGTGCAATATATAAATAGGTATACTTTGTTATACTCTACGGCGGCGCTTTAAGGACGGTTATTATCGATTTTCTTATGTCCATCTCGTACATGCCTGTATTCATAGTGCTCTTCTACAGTTTTAGCATATTTTGTTTTCTTTTACATTTCAGTACTTTAATAATTTAATATAGTTTTATTAGTAAAGCCAAAGCATAAATCGAACAATATATTTTTTCTTATAAAGAAATGGCGATGAGGGATAATACAAATAGAATAAAAAGTTAGTTTTAGAAGAGAATATTCTCAGTTGCACTTGGATTTGGAAATTTTAACTTAACGGGACAATTTCAATAGGATTAATAAATGGTTAGTGCTTTAATAAGAGACGTTCTTAAATATTGCCGATGTGAAATGATGTTTTTACATTTCTAATTAGATTATTCGGAACAACTATAGATACGGCTCCGTTGTATCGCAAATGCGTCGTTCCAATGTACGACCACAGGCGCTAACGCTAAGTTTTGCGTTTTAAATGTCTTTTAATTTATTTAGAAAGCGATAGGTGCAAAATCTTAATTCTTTAGCAATGGAGTATTAGAAAGTTTCTAACTTAAACAAGAAATAACACAAACAAGTCGTTACATCAAATGAAGTAAAGTACTTTAATTGATTGAGTCGAAGTGTGATGCATAGTACGAAAGGCATTGAACATAAGTCATTGTTGAATTGTGACGCTCAAAATGTCAAAGTTCATCCCTGGTGTTAGTTTGGTTTAAAAAAGTGAATTATTTCATGTCAATGCAAGGTGTTATGATGTTTCGTGGTTGTTGAGTGTTTCTTTATTATATAGCAATTTGTCACTCGGATGGATTGCAGGTAAATGCTTTACAATATTACATCGTACTATTCCTATTTTTTTTTGCATTGTATAATTTGATAACTAAACATATTCATCGATTTTATATTCATTTATTTGTAGCGTTTCGCTTTGGAAAAATAAATATTTCTTAGGGCATTTAATTTGATTTAATAGAAAAACAGTATATTAATGAACAAGATTATTGAGAAAATTACAGCAAAATTTCTTTCAGTATAAGTCGATTCATTGTTCATTAATGAATTTACGAAATTAACGCAATCGCTCATAAGAAAAAACCAAAAATTTAGTTACTATTTGCAATATTGATATAGTAAGTTTTAGTATACGTATATTACATGTTTGTCTTCATGAGACTTCACTTTTTATATTCTTCACAATTATTCGCAGATTAAAATAACGGTAAACACAAACGACGTCATTCCTCGTATGAATTTTTTTTAATGTACTTAATACAATCAATGGATTCTCTTAATTTAATCACAGCCTTTGTATTTTAAATAATAATATTTTGTAAATTCCTTGTTAATATCCAAATTTAAATACAGTATAGTAAATATATAGCCCACTGTTTGTCATTAAGCTTTTTGCAGACTACAACTTTTATTTTAATAGATACTTGCTGATATAAGATTATTAAGTTTTAATAAAATTAATAGAAAGAATAGCTATTTGAGGGATTTAGTAATTATGCAACAGAAGTTAAAAGATGATAACTTTATTTATTAAGCTTACATAGTATAGGAAACATATTTTGATTGTAAATGTATAGATGTTTATTAATGACTAACTGATGCTAATGCATATTATACAAAGTGTCACACATGGCATTGATTTAGCTTAGTTTGGTGTCCAAAAAGTAAACTACATTAATTACAGATTAAATAAGAACATAGTGTGTCTGATTAAACTTCTACTTCTTTGTGCAAACAAATATTAGAATGATCAGTGGGGATTTAGCCACCTATTACTCTATTCAATATTAATGCTGATTTCATTCTATGCAATAAATAAAATTGTTTGTACATAAAGGTAATTTTTTTGTTCCAGATTATGCTAAAAAGAAACAATCAGTAGTTTCAATAATAATCTAGCAAAATGCTGATAAAGGAGTACAGAATACCTCTTCCACTCACAGTGGAAGAGTATCAAATTGCACAGCTTTATATGATAGCAAAGAAAAGTAGAGAAGAGAGCTCTGGTGAAGGCAGTGGTGTTCAAATTATAGTAAATGAACCATATGAAGATGGTCCTGGTGGAAAAGGTCAGTACACTCAGAAAGTTTACCATGTAGGGAGCCATTTGCCAGGCTGGTTTAAAAGTCTACTTCCAAAGTCTGCCTTGACCGTAGCAGAAGAGGCTTGGAATTCTTATCCATACACCAAAACAAGGTATACTTGTCCATTTGTTGAAAAATTTTCACTTGAAATTGAGACTTATTATTTTGCTGACAACGGTCACCAAGAAAATGTATTCAAGTTATCTAAAAGTGATTTAAAAAATAGAATAGTGGATTTTATAGATATTGTTAAAGATCAGACCAGTGAATATATAAAAGAGGAAGATCCAAAATGTTATGTTTCACAGAAATGTAACAGAGGTCCGCTCTCTGATAATTGGTTGGAAGACTACTGGAAAGAAGTGCAAGGGAAGCCACAACCTTTACCAAATGGAAAATCTCTTATGTGTGCATACAAACTTTGTAGAGTTGAATTTAAATATTGGGGTATGCAAACAAAGTTAGAGAAATTTATTGATGATGTTGCCTTACGAAAAACGATGGTCAGGGCTCATCGTCAAGCATGGGTTTGGCAAGATGAGTGGCATGGTCTCACCATGGATGACATTCGTGAAATCGAAAGGCAAACTCAATTAGCTCTGCAAAAGAAAATGGCAGGAGAAACAAGTGATGAGCAAGATGTGTCTGAAGAAAATTCAAAGTCACTTGCAGCTACAATGAGTAGTTTAGAAAAAAATGAAGACTTAGATACTCCTTTGACTACTAAGAAATCAAATGTTGAAAAGAGAGTTCCCAAACATTTGTCTCCAGAGAGCACTCCACCACTGGAACAGAAGAGTTCCATGAAAAGTAATTTAAGATCATCATCTTCAGGATCTATAAAAAGCTTGCAAGCGCAAGTTGCTAATTGGCGAATGGAAACACTTGTGAGAGAATCAGAAACGGAAACTGGATCTGAAGATGAATTTTATGATTGTGAATCATCATTCAACAAATGGTCCTCCATGTGTTCTCTTGATGAAATGGAAATTGATATATCACCAACTCAGGGTGATCATAGTCAAGATGACAGTATTTTCAATCCAACATTCTTAAAAAGAGTAACCTCAGAGAGGGGTTCGCGTCGCATAATTACTTTCCAAAGTCATCAAAGTATGGATGGTTGCCCCGAAACACCGATACTCAGTTCATGCCCGACTACAGTATTAGTACTAGTATTTCACGCTGGTAGTGTTCTCGATGCAACTATTGACATGGCGGCAAAGAAATCGGACGTGACAACATTTAAAGGCGCTTTTGAATCTGTAATGCGCCAACATTATCCAACTTTAGTTGGTCATATTGCAATGAAACTAGTTTCATGTCCTTCTATTACTACAGAAGCATTAGGCATTTTGTCTACGTTAAGTCCTTATAGCTTTGATTGTTCCCCATCCACATTGGAAACTCCTTCCATGACGAATGATCTAATACCTATTGGTGCTATTCCTTTGCTAGCTACAAGCTCTCCTGATTATGTTGATGCGGTTACGAAAACTATAGCTTCGGCTAATACAGTTTATAATGAGTTCCTCAAATCTGATGATGGCAAGGGTTTTAATGGTCAAGTAAGTATTGTTGCTGATAGCATGGGTTCACTATTAGCCTATGATGCCCTATGTCGTACCGTGCAATATCAATCACGTCATGACAGCGAAAATAGTGTTTTAAATACTGAAATTACTATTCCCAATGAACCAAGTGATAATTATTTGAACAAATCGCTTTTGCAAGCGCCCACTCCACGCAGGCGATCATCTTCCACAAGTGATAATCAGACGAAGTTGGAATTTGAAGTAAATGACTTTTTTACTTTTGGTAGTCCTCTGCCTTTAATTTTAGCCTCAAGAAAAATTGCGGATGACAAAACACGGGATATTATGAAGCCACCCGTACAGCAAGTGTACAATTTGTTTCATCCAACAGATCCGGTTGCGGCCAGGTTAGAGCCGCTATTGTCCGCTAGATTCACGAACTTACCACCTATAAATGTTGCTCGCTATGCGAAGTATCCTCTCGGTAACGGGCAACCCTACCATTTAATGGAATTGATACAAAGCGATCCTCAGCTGTTTGGTGACCATTTACAAATGCCGCCAACACCAATATTGCGACGTCTTTCTGAGGCTTCCGTTCAAAGTACTGTCAGCGGCTTGGTCGATAATATACCATTGATAACGATGAATGCTTTACAGCAGAAATGGTGGGGTTCTAAACGACTTGATTATGCCCTATACTGCCCCGAAGGCTTATCGAACTTTCCCACAAATGCGTTACCACATTTATTTCACGCCAGCTATTGGGAAAGCTCTGATGTGATCGCCTTTATTTTGAGGCAAGTCGGTCATTTCGATTTAGCTTTTTACGGCCACGTCGAAGACAAAGATAGTACATTGTTCAAACCGGGACAAGAAAGAGAAAAGTGGATTCGAAAACGTACGTCTGTTAAACTGAAGAACGTCGCTGCCAATCACAGAGCTAATGACGTTATAGTGAAAGAAGGGTCTCCTCAAACATTTACAGCAAGGTTTATGTATGGGCCGTTGGATATGATAACTTTGACGGGGGAGAAAGTAGATATACACATGATGAAGGACCCTCCAGCTGGCGAGTGGACCTTATTATCAACTGTGGTGACTGATAAAACTGGAAGGATAACTTACACATTGACTGAGAAGCAAAGTGTCGGTTGTGGCGTATATCCAGTGAAGATCGTGGTACGCGGCGACCACACAAGTTGCAACTTCCATCTAGCTGTAGTGCCTCCACAAACCGAGTGCGTGGTATTCAGTATCGACGGCTCCTTTACAGCAAGCGTATCGGTGACAGGTCGCGACCCTAAGGTGAGAGCCGGAGCAGTCGATGTCGTCCGTTTCTGGCAAGATCTCGGCTACCTTATCATTTACATAACGGGCCGACCAGACATGCAACAAAGAAAAGTGGTATCGTGGCTAGCTGAACACAATTTTCCTCACGGATTGGTCTTTTTCTCCGAAGGAATTTCAACGGACCCACTGGGTCATAAGGCTGCGCATCTGAACAGTCTGATAAATGATCACGGTATAATACTGCAAGCTGCCTACGGGTCCGGGAAAGATATTAGCGTTTATCATAACTGCGGTCTGTCTCCAAAGCAGGTGTATGCAATAGGTCGTATCAGTAAAAAGTACACAAATATGGCAACAACTCTGAGTGACGGGTACGCGTCGCACCTGGCAGATTTGCGGCAGCCGGGAGCGGTGCGTGCGGCACGCGGCAACGCACGCCTCCTCGTGCCTCGTCGACTCCTCGCCCCGGTTAGTAGTGCCACCACTCGTAATCGCCGTTAAAACTATGTTTTTAAGTCTCTTTTTAAAGTTTTTTGACAAAGTATTAGATACCCTGTATTTTGATGTAATTTAAATTATATACGTGTATTATTTCCTCGTCTCTACCTATTTTTAGCGTATTTCTTAAAAATGACACGCTTTTTACAGTATTCGTTTGATGCTTCCACGTTGTTAGGATGTGGAGGTTGCGCAATAAAAACTGTTGCGATGTTGTCTATACAAAAAGGTTTATGAATATTGAATGTTAAATATAAATACTTGAAGTCACTGTGTACCTAACTAATTTGTATTGAATCTTGTTATTTCTGCCTCAGCTAGTGTTGATGTAATCGTTTGTATAGTAGATATTTATTGTTGTGTCAGGAGGGCTAGAATCTCTTGTCTGCGTTCTTATTTATATTCTAGTCTTTGTAAGTTAGGTAATGATCTGATTTTATTAAAAAAAATATATTCCTAATGTAATTCCATAATTTATAAAAGGAAGGGGATCTCCTTTGACTAAACGCTTTATAACGCCTAAGGCCATATAAATTTTTAATTGATGACCTGGTCTAAGGTGTAAATTTCTAAGACTATTAAATATATTTGGAATCTTTATGTTTGCATCACCCTGTGTGATATATTTTTAATGTAATCTTGACATTCGATTCGTTTAGATGACTCATTAGTAAAGAATCTGTGCGATGCTTTGATCTGAATATGTATGTTTTTTTGTTCGAAGTACCGAATCAATATTGAACGATGAATTTTGCCATAGCGCTTTTACTCAGACTTTGTTGATGTTGACTTATCTGCCAATAAATGCACCTTCAGGCATATAATTTTATCGAATTCCACTCGAGTTTCATCTCTTTGCTGTTTAATATTTAAATTATGTTTGTTAGATATAAGATTGTCTTTTTTTATCAGGAAATTATAATTTCAGGGTTCTACTTCGGTAGTGTATTTATATTCGGTACCCATTGCATTCTGGCTTTAGGTACTAAATAGTTACTATATTTATACTGAAATTTTACTAGTCCTTGTTTTCCGTAGATGACATTTTTACAATTTTTTTATAACTTATACTTTTCTCTTTAGAATATGGCAAGTCACGATAACCAAGTAACAGAGTCTTTTCTGTTGTCACCTGTACAAAAAAAAATACACTCTTATAAATGAACTTATTCTTAATTTATACAAGAGGAACATTATTAAACATATTATTTTAAGACGCCCTTAAATTGTTAACGCTTCTAATTATGCCTTTACGGAATAAAGTGGTGAGAACTCGAAAAACGAAATTGTTACTTGTTTTCGTAAGTTTACTTTAAGTAAACTGTCTTTCATACTCTCGTTTTATAGTTTTATGTCTAGATGTAAGGACTATGTTTAAGACAAATTGTAGTACATGTTAAATTAGATATGTTGTGTTTAGTCAATAACGTAGACAATTCCATCAATGTAGCCAGGTTTATGTTTACTAGGCGAAGTCGGTCAAGGCATTTGTCGTAAATTGTAATGAACGCTAACGATTGACCGCACCCACCTCTATTATTTGAACCGCTTAATTAGTGGACACTGCCCATACACGTGAATTTCCAATTAGAAAATTAAAATGTTTTTTTTTTATGTTAAACAGTGGTATAGGAAAAATGTTATAATATGATACGAACAGCTAATTAAAATCTGATATTCCATCTTATTGCGTAATTCGCGCAACGATTTCTTCTTTCCTAATATACGTAAATATTATTATGACAAATTTTATATTGCCGTCATTTCAAAATATCGCGTATTTTATGTTCAACGAAGTAGGGTGGATGACACCTTTTCATATAACTTCGTTTCCAAATTGTGATAGGACTAAATATTTTAAGAAGGTCAAAAGGAGGGGCTCAGTTTTGCCAAAACCAGGTCGTGCTTGTTTGTAGTTATATTCAACCCTGGTTATGTATAGTATATAATGCTTGCCGTGCCAATTTAAGACCTAGATCTCGAACTTGTAGCTGACTACATCAACAATAACGGGAATTTTGTTGTGTTACAACTTTTTTTTAGTAACAATGTAATGTTTAATGATTTAACACTCACAATCTAATAGCCAGAAAGGCCTTTTTGAACTTTATTGACCCGTCAAGTGACAATGTATTATACCTGTCAGATCATGGAAGCCATAGTAATGGAATTGCGTTGAAAGACTAACCGTGAGTTTCTGAGACCAAAGTCCACGTTTGAACTATATGGTTACCTCTGTTTTTTTTCTCAAAGATAATGAAAGATGACGATATGATTTATACAGGGAATTTTAGTATTAGAAACCAACGGTACGTGGTGGTGGTCGTCTACATCTTCTATAAACATATAAAGTATGATGAAAAGATTTGTGTTTTTGTAGTCGCTAAATTACGATAATACGGCGATTTCAAGCTAAACTTGTATTTTGTATAAGTTGATTGTGACCAAATATAACTATGTACTTACATTCGTTTTCAAAATAGCATTTGCCTTGATAGTTTCTCATCTGTTTAGATTCAATTTAACAAAACAATGACCGTGAAAATAGCTGTTACATGTTAACGTTCCTCCCATTATACTTTTATTACAGCAGATCCGACCTAAAGATGCCAGATTTGCTTACACGTGAATCATAATTTAGTACGTATTTAGCGGAACGTGCTAACAAAAATATCTCATTAGCACTAATCGAGAGGAAAACTTTGCTGTAAACTACGATTTGAATAAAAAATTACTTTAAATTTGAATATTATACTGGGTGTTAGTAACGGTTTTAACTCTATTACGGCCTTGGCTTGATTTCTACGGCGCACTCTTTTTATTACCATGCCTATGGCGCCCCTTTCTGTTCAGCGTTTAGGCCGTCTCCCAACCTCCCTACTCCAAAGCCGGTATAGCTTACTGGGTGTGTCTAAGTAAATATCGTTGTTTTTAGTCTTTCGCTTCTCGGTTCCTTGTCTTCGTACCTTATGTAGCATATAACCTTCCATAAAAATTCTTTTGTCAAATGCAAAAACGTGATTTGAAATCCAAATACATAGTAGTTTTTGAGATTAGTACAGTCAAACAAAGGAACCTCTCCTCTGTTCAATTTGGGACATATTACTACTGTTTAGTACGCCTTCAAACTGTCTTCCCCAAATTGGATTAAAGGCGTGACAGAATAATTGTTTACGGGTTAAAAATAATATTGGCCCATTTTTTGAGTCCTAATGGTATTGTGAGTCAACATGTCTGGAAGACCTAAAGGTGTTTTGGGTTATTCTGGAAAAACGTTACAAACAGGAAGATTTCGTTGTAAGCATTTCTTATGTCTGTTTACAGTCATGTTGGCTGTGTGCGGCTTCATTCGCGAGGTCGGCCCGTTTTCCTATATATAAATACGCTTTGCTGTTTCAGACAAAATACTATGTTGATGTATCCAATATCTTGTAGTTTGTAGAGTAAAAATTCATGTGGTGTTATCTCAGCTTTTTATTATTTGAATATCCAAAGTATTTCTAGCGTAATAGGTACCTTGACAAAAATATTTTTATATTTATTTACATTCAGAGTAAAATATTTAAAATTTTAATCAGAGATTCATAATTAAAAATATTTATTAACTGGTAATCTTTTAGTTATATTTTAATGTATAAAAAAATATATGACTTCAAACATAAGTATTGTTACAACTCTAAAGTGTATGTGATAAATAAGTATAATTAATTTTAAATCCTCATTTTAATATCTCATTGTCTATTCTAATAGGTAATAAGTTTTATTCGATGTGACGATATAAACATGTACTTCCTGGTTGTATTATAAGTATGTCGCTTCTAAGAAACACCTATAAATGTAAATGAAGGTAGACATAGTTATATTCAAGGCTTACCTTCCTACATGTTACAGTTATTTAATCTAATTATTTCCAAGATCAAATGCTGTGCTAGCTTCTGTCAATTTTTTTATGATTATGTCGATGTCTTTGTGTGAATAAATAAATAATTATTGTTGACTCGCATTGTTTGATTTTGTCTACTTACTACTTTAAGTCTTATGTCCCCGTAGTGGGCTAGAGGGCGTCTCAAGTGCGCTGCCAGTTCACTCTATCTTGGGTTCTTCGTAATCTCTGGCCATGTCAGCCCTATTGCCTTTATGTCGGCTGCATCGGCACATTTGTCAACTCTATATTAATTGAAATAAAACAATATTTGACACTTTACCATATTTAATGTACATGCTTTCTTCGTTTAAAACATTCAAAAACTAAGTAACATTACAAAATCACAAAGAGCTTTTCGTGTAAATAAAGTAAAGGAGTAATGTCTATAGGAAATGATTACATACAAAATAAAATGGCTAAAATTACATGAATGTTTCTACAATACTATAAATGTTGACTAACTAAATAGACACAGATAAACAAGATTCAATAATAAACATTTAAAAAAATATCTATTTACATGATCATAAAGTTAAAATCGGATTTAGATGAATTTACAACTAAAACTTATAAAAATAAAAAATTATATAACTATATCACACAAAACTGTAGAGCTGAGCTGCAAATGAGGCCCTCTGGAACTTTAATCAACCATTCCTTTCTACATTGTTCGTTGGGTGGTTCAAAAAGTGTTTTAATATTTCAAATTGTAAAAATAATAAAATTTTATCATTGTTCTATTTAGTATTTTGAAAACGTTACTTGGTAAAGTGCAATAAAAAATCCACTATCGAAAACGGTCTGTCCACTGTCGGATGTGGTATAGATGTTGTCTCTGGTCAATTGTCAAGAATTTATTCGAAAAAAGCATAAAATATATGAATCATTTGTGAAATTCTTACATTGCCTCTTTAAGTAATCGGACATAGTCTTAACGTTTTCAAAATAATATAAAATATAAAAATGTTTAGGATCGGTTAACGAATTTGAGATCAAATTGTACTTTAACATTCAATATAGCACATTAAACATATATAACGCACAAATACGTACAGTTAATGCTTTACCTAATATTCGAAAGGACCAACTAACATACAATATCCTTAATACGTATAATTTCTCACATTCACATTTATCCAAAGATTTTAAAATCAATACGCTAATGACCATACATTCGATAGAATTTTTTAAACTTTAACGAATCTTATTTTCACATTTTACTGTCAAACCTTTAACTTTGGCCCCAAAATACGAATCATCTCGTTAAAATGGGAACCACTCTATAACTACAATTTTCCCTTGAAATAATTGCCTTTAAAGTTACCGACGGTAACAAAATAGCGGTAAAACATAGTATCCATATCCTTCCATAGTCTATAGAGCGACAAGGAGATCTGACTCGATGAGTCAAACGAAATTATTACAGCTCACTGGCGCTAGCCCAGACAATACAAAAAGATTGACATTGTTTTGTCGTACTCTGGCTGTATTTTTTTTACAGCGTTTTCTACGCTAGCTAGGTTTTATATATGTTATAACTGCGTTATAGTGCTTCTGTCACCGGGTCAGACATCCATGTTTGACTATATATTCAATATACAATATGTTGTCAGTAAATTTAAGATTATAATTAAATTTAAGTCACAGTAATTACATTCTGTAGTCATGTGTTCTCTGGTATTTAGTAACGATCATAAGAATTTTGGAAACATTAGATTTTACGGTTACGTTTTTAAATCATATTAGCAGCAACGAAATATTCCATACCGAGTTATTGTACTACCGAATGAAATACTACAGTATTTATAAAATGAAATACGATTTAAAAATTCATAAAAATGTATGAGTGAAATGGAATATTCCGTAGCTGACAGTTTATTAGTGACATTTGAGTATAGTACAAAAGTTTGTTTTAAAATAATGTACTATCAATTATTATTGGCACATAAAATATTAATGTAAGTTAATTGACCATTGTTAAAACATAATAAATCTGTATATTCATATTTATGCCACAGTAAAAAATAGTATTTACAAAGACATTTTTTATCTATCATTATTAATTTCCAAAGAAAAATATTCTAACAGTGATTATTTCAAATAATTAACCGAAAATAAAAATCTTAATAACCATTTTCACTTAATTATTCAATTCGAATTTTATATGAAAAAACAAATACATAGGATAGTTTTTTTTATGAAAATATCAGGAATCACATTATTCAATATAACAAAATAACAATAATTATAATACAAAAATGTCCAATAACTTTTTTATTTTGATAATAAAAATCAGTTCTATTTGGATTCGAAAAAAATTACAATATATATTTTAACATCAACCGACACAGAGGAAACTTTAAATTAGTAAAAAAAGGTTGAAATTAAAAGTTAACAAGAAAAAAACTTCTTTGGAATGTTAATAAATCCGAAAAAAATAAATGCTTTAAAACACATATGCAAATAGGTCTTTGAAATTCAGTAATACTTTACAATAAAAAATATATCGAAATAATTTAATAAAGTTGAAATAAATTATTCAGTATTCTAATAATATAATCTGTGGGAAAATATTTTTCATAGATGTTATCTGTGTTACACAATAGATAAGGTTATTGTTAATGTTCACATTCAATGAATAGATATGGGAATTAGATAAAATTGAACAATACATTTTGCAAGACAGACAAGATAAAAAATGCAAACAAAACTTTCATTTGGTTCCGTAAGTTTTTTTTAAAAACCAAGAAAAGGGAATTGTTACGATCTATATATAGAATTTATTTTAAAACATAATTCTGAATGTATCAGTATTAAGAAAAGGGAATAATCCATTTTTTTTTCAATAAAATTATTTCTTTTACGAGGCATTCATAATAATGCCAATAGAAAGTTTTGTTATTCTCGTAAAATAATTTATAGCAAAAGAAAATTTGATTCAAGAATCTAATTGATAAGATATCTTATCAATCCATAAGACATTTAAATCTTTTAAATCCAGCAAGTATCAAGCGTAACTTGATGCTATATCTCATTCCACTGACCATAACTATTAAGATTACGTATATATAACAAAAACATATACATTATATATAACTTTCGAAATGAACCACAAACATTTTTGGGTTATAAAAAAACTTGATTTAAAAAAAATTAATAAAACACAGACCTTACAATAACATTTACAAAACGTGTTCTTACATAATGACATAAATTTACACATTAACAAAGTGTGAGAGGAATAAAAGAACAGCCACTATTCACCATTCACAAACACGTATATAAAAATCTCATAGAAGTGGCACATCATGAAGGACCAACTTAATTTCACTAGCTTAACTGTACTCAAGTTTAAGTCATAAAGTTGCTCGATAGTTTTTTTAGTAAACTTGATTAAAAAATAGTCTATCCTAAATGATTTGAGTAAGTCGCTCCATTCTTTAGAGGCGGTCGCGTGAAAATGACGTCTTCGTCGTCGGCATTTATACTCTCCGCGGTTGTGAGCGCGATCGTGTCACTGTGCACCACGTGGGGCGACTCATCAAATTCATCCAGTTCTTCTACATTCGCTGGAGACAATGTTAAACAAAAATTATTCCCGACACTTCCAAAATTTTGTAATCATAATAATTCTTTACTGTATAGTAGAATTCAATGGAAATTAGAAATTATAAGAAACCAAATTAAACAATACCCAGACACTTTCCAACATTGACAGCGAGTAACATGTGTAAATATAACTTGTCAGTTACATTAAATTCGACTGTATATACGGTATTGAGTAAATAAAAATATTTTTTATTCGATCCATATGGCCCATTTGGCCATACTTTATTTATTTATTTTAAAAGTAATATATCGTATCCCTTTACTTTAGAATTAATTTTAATACAAAAACAATTACAATAATAACATAATTTACCTGTAAAATCTGAAGAAGTTAACAGTAAGTACTGTTCGGATCGCGTCGGCCACAGCAGATGCGCCATCACGCAGTACGCTAGGCAATCGGCCGAGTATGTTATACCTGGAAAAATTATCAATATTCTTAAGTTACGATTACACAATTTATAATTGGTTTAAAATTAAACATTAACGTATTTTCAGATGTTTGGATGCTTCAGGCCATGGGATAAAGAGCAAATCTTACTAATATTATAAATGCGAATATTTAGACGGATGGTTGTTAGAAGGTATCTCCCGAAGAGCTCAATGGATCTTAATAAAATTTGGCACAGATTCAGAACATGTTCTGGAAGAAGGCTACTTAATAAGTTTTTGTTTTAGTCAAAGTTAAGTTTTTCACGAAGGCGCTTGCGACAGCTAGTGTGTTATTTAAAATTAATCAGATAGTCATATTTATAAAAAAAACTCACCTAATAAAAACTTAAACCTCCACAGTGGACTGATTTGCAGAGCAATCAATGCAATGATCGGTAAGTACACAAACCAGACGAGACTCGATGCGCCGAAATGCAGTAGGAAATTGAGCTTCGTTATATTGTGTTCGTATATCATAGTATTACGAAGCTCTAGAATGAACCACACCATGATGGCGACCCTCAGAGTAAGAACCAACCACCCTGGCCATGTCTGGTATTCATCTATCTCTTCTATTATATCAACTTCCGTCTAGAAATTAAAAAAGTAGATAAATAAGAAATGTTTACTTAAAGCCATAAAATAAACTTAAACCATAAATTTAAGAGAAGCATAAATTTGCATGAATCACATAAAATCCTATTACAAATCAATTTGTTATGGTAATTAATATTTATTACAGACATTATTTAGAATTTACGATAGCAAAGATTTCTAAATTAAAAATAAATCCTAATATTCAAAAAGTATTTCTAAATACTTACCGTATTCCATACATAAAGGAGAATATTGACTATTCCATATGCCAGCCATACACCAAATACAAGAGGTTTATATGTCAATTCTAATCTTGTTACTGCCCAGCCCTTGGCTAACAGGAGCAGTAATAACATAAACAAAGTCTGCAAAAAAAAATTATATATTTTAGTCATAAAGATTTGAGAAGCAAAGATTCTCACATTTTCTTTTGATACTTGTTCTTGTAAATGAAATTCAAATATATGTTAAAAGTAAAATAACTTTGCTGTGTTTTTAAATACATACCCATTTGAAATTATCACCATATGCTATAAATTCAAACAGCTGTTTATACATAGTCTTGCCTTTATGTATTATTTTGTATTTAAATATAACCATATTATTAAAATAATAAAGATATTCCTTTTTTATTTTCTGTTTTAACTTTCTAATGAGTATACATACTCAAATATTACACTGAATAAAAAAATGTTTTGTTGCAATCTTTGGTAGTTGAATGAACTAATACAAGGTTAATCTTAATAGAAACTATAACTTCACATTTTCTCAATTACTCATTTGAAGGACAACTTGTCAAATTTCTACATAAAAGAGTGGCCAAGAGAAATAAATGGAATGTAAATAAGGTTTAAAGTCTGGTGACAAACTCTTCTTAATAAGAATAATAAAATGTTTTCTTAGCTCTGGTACCATCGCCAAAAAAAAAAAGAATTTATAATACTTACTCTACTCATAATATCTATAATATCACCGGCTACAGCAAGTCCCTCAAAACCAATGCCGTCAATCGCAAACTTTGCTGTGTGCAACACATTAAAACAGAGAGCAATAAACTCCAACAACAGGCTGCATGTAAACAGTTTTGTTACTGGATGTCTCTGTGTCCTACAAAACAAGCAATTTGATTATTAAATAATAAAGAATACATCTAACATGTTCCTTTATCTCTTTATATCTTGTTCCATATGAACATCATGTGTTATTAAATATCTTGTAAATTATACAAATGTCCATAGATTGTGGTTAAATGACCATAACTAGTTCTTATTTTGAAATGTTATTTTGTGGAAATTGTGAGAGTAACATAAAATATGGATAACATGTACATATTTTACTTGTAAAATTGGAAAGTGTGAGTAACGGAATTGTGATTAAAAAGACTTTATAATATTATATACTTGTTACCAAAATTATGTGCCAATAAAATTTTATATTTATATTTACCTTACAGCATAAATCTGGACAGGCAGTAGTATGATATAGCATAGCCAGAATAACAGATACAACTCAAGGGTGTTTTGCCTATCAAATGAAAACTGATAAACCAATGTGTTGTACAAGGAAATATTGGGACTTCCATTTACAAGCCAGAAATCATACTGTATATCCTGTGGGATATGTGTTAACGTCTTATTGTCTGCAGAAGGGGCTCCGGTGTAATGATGCCATGAACATGTTACTTCATCTAAATAACATGACACCATAGATATATACCAGAACCTGAAAACATATTAAGATTTATGAGTTCAACTAGTAGTAATTAGATCCAGGCATCAGAAAATACAGTTAGCCCAGTACAGTCACCGAGATGGAGAACACAATACATACACTGGACTATTAAAGATTAGCCATGATTTTAATTAGTTAATTAATATGTCTCACAAGTGTCAATAACTTAAATCCAACAAGTTACTGACAGAAAAAAGGAGTGTACAAATTGAGCAGATTAAATCTTTACAGTCTTGCAAAAGATCAATTGATAATGAAACTATATGAATACATATATAAAATAAAAGCATTGTTGTGTTTAGATAAGCAAGCAATACCAATACACTGATTAGACATGATATCAGAAGAAAGTTATTCTTGCTTCATGTATCACTTTCCAGGGCCCTCTTTATGAATAAAAAAATATTTGTTGTTTGTTTGTGTAAAACATGTTTTGGTGAATAAAAGACAAATTGATTCTCGATTTGCACAAAAATATACCTTGATTGATTCCATAAGTATAAGAAATAAAAAATATAATTACCTAGGTTGTCCTGTGTTTTGTATAACATAAGTGAACTGATTGCTTTTGATCACATTCCAAGGTGTATCTTCATCAACACACAATTTACCTTCAGGGCAAGGAATACGTCGAAATAAATCTTGACCGCATGTATTACATTTAGGATGATAAGCTGATGAGTTTAAATTTTGAAACATAACCTGGCAAGCTGTTTCCTTGTCAATAATATCACGATTTTTATAATAATGAATAAAATGTCTTCTATCTAGTACTGCAAACGTGATAGGATACTTAAAATGTTGATTGGATGTAATGTTTCCAAAAATATATCCATATGTTTCCTTTTGGAAATGAATATCTGTCTTTTGAAATCCAAATTTCACTAGGAACTTGAAAAATTCTTGGGTAGAAAACTGGCCTTTTATGTGTTCCGATGAAGCACACAGAAACAAAGTCCATAATAAAAGAAATGTAACTTTGTTAATACACATTTTGACGTCAAAATACCGTCACACTGATTTAACATTTCTGTATTACTATTTCATAACTAGCTCCTTCCATATTTATTCACTTATAGTCCCATTTCATATTTCAATACGTTAAAATTCTACTCATGATTTTTCTACGTGCTGATTGAAAATGAACCAAATAATATTTTGTTACACGAAAATGGACCAGACTATCATTTGTACTATTTTATACATTTTATATCTTGCAAATCTATCTTCAAATGTCAATATTAAGTGACAGTTAGAGTAAAAGCACAGGCGCAACAGGGCCCCAAAGAGCAAATAAAAAAGAGGCCCATCTATAATTGTTAAAATGTTAAGTTATAAGCAACAATTATCATGAAAAATAAAATCTTAGGATATTTTGAGAGGACCTTTATCTAAATTAAAATTTTCATAATATTTATATAGCAAATTGTTATAAATTTGTAAATAGTTGAATTATAGATTAAAAATTCAATGGTACCTTTTCATTATCTTTGAAAGTAACAATATTTAGGGTTCCTTTCGTATCCTCGCTTCGTTTCTTTTTAAAAGTGAATTTACATAAAATCCTCGATCAGGAATTAAACTACGTGTTGATACACGTATTTTTAATTACTTACTTATTTAATAAAGTGAAATGTGCGTTTTGTGATTTTATTACATAAATTCCACCACTTTTATACGGAAAACAAAATTATACGGAACTCTGTGTAAAACCGTTATGTTCATCTGGTCGTACTCGTATGTTGTATATTTGATGTTTCCTTTTCTATCTAGCTTACCGCAATCTATGGATGGTGTTTTATCGTTTAGAGGTGTAAAGATGAGAATATAATGATACGGCTATACAATGAATATGTCCAGTGTTCGATTAGATTACAATAACTAAGTAAAAGATGAAAATGCGTGTGGAAAAATGTTTTCGATTCCAATCGTGATCTACTTCTGTACTTGTCAGCCATAGAAACTGCGGTCAAAAGTAACTAGCTCGTTTCCTTTGTGATCCCTTAATCTAAATATCAGTGTCAATTACTTTTATAAATGCTCAAATTTTTCGATCGCTGTATTCATAGTGTACTATGATCCTTTACGAATGAATTTGGATCATTTTTATTGAAAAAAATGTATTTTTACTTCATAACCTCCATCAGGCGGAAGCGACAATAATCATCCATTTTTTAAATATATGAGTTTTGATGTGAAGTTACAATTTAAAGTATTAGGCTTAGTTTGTTAGGTGTAGTGTTTTCCCTGTGCTTCGATCGTTACTTGTAGTAGAATGGTGGAAATAGGAGTGCACCAACAATCAGCTGACGAGAGTCTGGAGAATGCTGAATGGTACTGGGGTGATATAACAAGGTAAAAAATATAGTAAAATAAAACTTTTGCAGAAACCCATCATCCATTTATAAGGATTTTGTGTAAAGTAGTATAAATATTTCTGTGATAGGTGTCCTTTCTATTGTACTACAAACTGTTCTCAGTTTGGATAGGAATAGTTTTAATAGATTAATAGGTTTTTAAATAACTTTTAGAAAATTTATTTAAGTATCAATTTCAAAATGCTTATATGTTATGGAATTGAGTTAAATTTAACATAATAAATAAAATTGTTACAATAGCAGGCATATATTAATTGCATGTTGCATCATTATCATCATAGTGACAATAAAAAAAATCTTTCAACATCAATGTATCATAATTTTTCAGAGATGAAGCTAATGAAATTCTTAGAGATACCTGTGATGGCACTTTTCTGGTTCGCAATGCATCTAACAAAGATAGTGGATATACCTTAACTGTTAGAAAAGGAGGCACAAACAAATTAATAAAGATCTACAACCATGAAGGCCGTTATGGATTCTGTGAACCCTTTGAATTCAACTCTGTTGTGGATTTGGTTAAGTTTTATAAAGAATATTCCCTGGCACATTGCAATAGCAGTTTGGATATCAAACTTATGTACCCATTGTCAAGGCTACAAGAGAATGATGGAGCTGAGAATATTAATGATGAAACACTTGAATCAAGGTACAAGGAGATACATAAGGAATTTGTGCTAAAAACTAAAAATTATGATGAAAGATCTGATACATATATGAAATTAAGAGAAAAAGTCAAAATGAAGAGACAATCTCATGATGCTTTTTGTGAAGCTGTCAAAGTCTGCGAGGAACATTTAAAATTACAAGAAAAAATGCATGCTGAAGCACAACCCCATGAGAAAAATGGCCTTATTGAAAATAACAAGCAGTTAGTAACACAAGTGAACAATTTGAAACAAGCAAAGTTGCAATTATTCAATTTACTAAGGGAAACTGTTGAATCTAATTTATTGCTTGAAAGAGAAATAACCAAATTAAAATCTGAAATCATTAATCTATACAAATTAAAGGACAGATACAAAGTGTAAGTTTTTTTTGTACCTTATTAAAATTAGAAAAAAGGATTTATAACTTTTTCATGATATTTAATGACTGGGAAAAAAAGTTATGTATTGATAGGCAAATAAGTATCAAATTACACTATGTTAATTTTTCTTTGTCAGTGTTCTGACCTAGAAGGCAAAATTAGGACATTACAGCATATTTGATAATATGTTTGATAAAACTTGTAAATTATTATGAAGTATCATACATAGTTTCAATGGAAATGCATACAAATTATTCCTATTTGATGTTCAATTTTTTGCAACTGTTGAAAATATTGTGCAATGTTTAATTTCTTTAATTAATAGATCCATGTATGTGAATTCTTTTAATAGCCACATGTTTTACATTGTCCATTAGATTTAGATTACCTGAATATTTCTAAACCTGTTGTATTAATCTATTTTAGATGATATATAAAATTCAATCTGTATTTTTCAGGTGGCTTAAACGAAGAGGTAAAACTGAGGAATATATTCAAGCTTTAGAAAATAACAACATTCATATTCTTGAAAAATTATATGCACACAATGAATCAATAAGTTGGATGGTGGAAAATTGTACAAGAGATACGGCTGAGAAAATGCTTGAAGGAAAACCTCAAGGCACATTTTTAATAAGACCTAATTCAACGGGACAACTGGCATTATCTATTTGTTGTAATAATATGGTCTACCATTGCATAATTTTCAAGACTGAAAGAGGATATGGATTTGCTGAACCCTACAACATTTATAAGTAAATATTATTTGATAGTGACTCAACAATCAACTTTCACAGTTTTGATTTTTAAAAATATATTTTGTTTAAATACAACAAAGTGATACAGTGAGCATGTTCATTTATGAAAATAATAATTTATCCTGTTCTGATACAATTAAAATTGTTAATTATTTTAAACATTTGGTAATGTTCTTCCTCTTGCATTTTATATTTAGACTCTTCATATTACTTCACAAACTGCTTTCTTTTACCTAATATTTTAAGAACTTAAGACAATAATTTGGCATGGCAACCTAGATTCTGTGAAATTGATAGTCAATCATATAACTTGAGCAACCAATTTGCCTTGAGATTTTTTTTTTGTTGAGGAATGCCTTTGTCCTTCACACTGATAATGCTCAGCATCATAATAGTGGTGTAATGGTGATGGCCTGAGTTTATTTGTAAAAGGTTGATGGATGATTTTGATGATGAAATGTTATACTTCAAGATGTAATGCAAATATTTATTTAACAAATACATTGTGATAATATTTCCTAATTTTATTTTCAGAACTTTGAATGAACTTGTACATCACTATGCAGTCAATTCGTTAGAAGAGCACAATGACCAATTACGAACTGTTTTGAAGTATCCGGTCAATGCGCATTTAGTGAAAAAACCTGAAAGGAAACAGGTACAAGAAACAACTCAACAAGAAACAACACCATTACAAGAAGTTCAACCAATGGACACACAGCTCCAGTCGTACAGAAGGCAACGAAAACAACGTGTCCCAATGCCCTAAAATGTTGTGATTTAATTGACCTACCTAGTCTGTGTATATTTGAATGAACATTCTTTACATATTAGGTACTACAATCCAGTGATTATTTGAATGTGTAAAAACCATGAGTATTATATGAATGAATTTTGTATTATAATGTGTTTGCATATCTGTATTCTTCCTGTTGTGGTCGTCTCACACAATTTCACTCAGATTAAGAGAATGTAGTGAAACTTTTAATGGGCGTTTTCAAGTATACGCATCTTTTTGTATAGTAAAAAGTAGGATGTGTTTGCAATATTAAAACAGGTTTGAAATTGTAAATGCTTTTACGTAAGTATTCCTGAGTTTCCTGTAGATTTGTGATATGTCAAGTCATTTTGACTTGCTAAGGTTATTTTTGGGAAATTCTTTAGGTTTACGTACTTTTATATCTGTGAAAGAGAATTAATGTTTGTGACTTGCGAATTTGTAAATTGTGCGTGGTTTTGTATAATTTTGTGAATTCTTTTCGCACGATATTGTATCATTAAAATCAGTTGTAGTGTATGGATACATATGTATTTATAATCTTAGCGTTCATAGACTAAGGTAATTGTACAAAGTGATGATAAATATTATAGATATATATTTATTTAAGTACTAATTATATTTTACAACAAAGTTGAAACAGTTCTTAAGTTTTGTATTGGGGTAATAACTGCATTATAACAAACATGGGTCCTACTTATGGGCAAATAAGATGATCTCTGATGTACTATTGTAGAGGCAGCACCTTTCACTTTCAATGTTGTAAATTCAGGCTAATTCAGTTTGTTTCCTTTTTTAATTTATTCAGTTATTTATAAAAGCCTTTACATGCTTTTGCACATAGTGCTACCTAGTGTACATAAACCTTTTTGAATCAGGCATGATCAGGAATGGTGCTAGGTACGGTCCGAATTTGTGGTTTGCTCAAAAATGGAGGTTGACTGTAATTTTAAATCATACTGGTAGGTCTATATTTGGCAAGGTACAATCATCTTGCAGCTTTTAACCTTTTTTAGATACCACCATAACCGCTGGATTTAGTCCAACTTTTGATTTTTAGACCTCTAATACACATTGACTTGTGCCTCACTTTAGGCAACCTTGGTACATCCATCTCATATCCATGCACACAATTTAAATCTCAGTTAGTCTTCTATTTTTCTTAAATTTAGAAACCAACCAGCATTAAAACATTTTAATAAACATACTTGTTAATTAACAAGATGTCATTCTTAATAAATTTATGTAAATCTTTTTTATTTTGATATGTGATTGATGGATAATGTTTGATATAACAAAAATAGGATTATAGTTTAATTTTTGAATTAATTTTTTTATCCTTTTATCAAAATTGAATGAAGTTATTTCTCTTCAGTGTTAACACATTTGTTTGAAGTATACAAAAAGCTGTGCTCTCTACACCTTTTGCGGATATTGTAAAATGATTCTAATATCACAAATTAAAAAAATAGTTTGCTTTTCTTTCTTAATAATATTTAATATTAATATGTATTATCTTTTTTATTTTCAAAATGTCATAAAAATAAACAAGCAATATTGCTGTGTTGTAGTAATGCAATTGTCATTTAAAATTATGTGCCATTCTTAGCGATTTTTTTCTTTAAAATACGTTGATTTTGATGAAGCGAATCTAATTTTTTTAATGAAATTTATGAAGTTATAGTTTTAATTCTGTATATGACACTCGATTTATGAACCGAAAGAATAGCAACATTTTCTTGTTGTTCTAATTTCATATTCCTTATACATTTCTATATTTTAAAATCCTTATATATTTTTTATTTCTGAAGCTTGTAACACATACAAAAATAATGTTTTACATAAGCTGAGAGGTTAATAAAGCGTTTTTTAAAATCTTACAATAAAATATTATTTTGTCCTAAAATATAAAGAGTATGTATAATATTGAATTTTAAGTGAGATTATTGTATTGGAGTTATTTCTATATTTAATTAACTAATATAAAGTACACGACAATGAGTTTTATATAACGGGTAACATATTTGATTTTATTTTTAATTTCCATAAAAATGTCAGTTTTTCAGTTTACTTGGAATACTCCTTCCTACTAAGTTCATGGCTTTAAAAAAATTATAAAATCTATGAATATTTAAGAGTCGAAATAAAATATCGGTGTAGACTTTTATTTCATTTAATAAATGTAAAACATCTGTGCAACATATCATTTATGTTTATATGCAACTAGTATTGACCCTCTTTGTGTTTGATATAAAAACATTTGGTCAAATTGGATTAATTGTTCATTTAAACATGAAAAATGTGTCATTCGATATAAAAATAATGTTTGGTATCAATCTGTTATGCCTGTTATCTTGACATGTGAATGCCATTTTTTTGGGTCGTTTAATATAATTTGATCCAATACAATAAATGCCTTGAGTGTACAACTTAAAACGCAAGGCATTTATTGTGTTGTCTTAAACTCGTGTAGAAAATAAAATAATATTGATCTCAAATATAATTTATTCTACCTGAATGTTTCGATGATTTATAACAAACGTAATGTAGAATGAATAAATATCTCCCTAAAGTGAGTACATCGATACCTGGATCCGTAAAAAAATTATACATTGCCGTCATGTTTATAACATTGTAAAAGTAGAGTAAGTGTTAATAAACAATTTATCCAAATAATCGTTAGCTCATTTATTAATTAATCTTAAAAATAGTCAAATTGTACTATATCGATCGATAATTAACATTCATAATGGTGAATGCAGAATGCAAAAAACTACACTTAAGATCACTTGACTGTTCAGTATTTTTTTGTTATTTATCTTCGAAATATTTTTGATAACACCGAACTGCTTAGGTGAACATGAACTACAACGAAAATGACTTGCCACTATTTTTTTCTTCCCCCTACTACTCTCAAAAACCATTATTGTTTAATATTTAAAGTTTTGCGAAAAAATTAGAAATTTCCGAAGATATCGGAAAATTTCAAGTTTTTGAACTTGATATAACAAGTCAATAAGAGAAATAAATTAGGACAATAAAAACTCCAAATTTGTATAAGAAATTCCTGAAAAGAAAATTTAGTTATACACAACAGACAAGTGCTATCGATACTTGTTACATTGTCTCATCTCTTATCGAATTACCAAAATGGTGAAAATCAAACAGACACAACATACAACGTGTTGTAGCCCATCCATTTATTTCATATTAGAGCCATAGATAATACACATAAACTAGCTAGAGCTTAGAGCATTCTATGTCTATGGATTTGAAATTTTCCGATCCTCTCTTCTTCTCTCCGCCATTTTGTGAACATTGGCGTCGGTATTCGGTGTTTAATAATTTCGTGTACAGATATAGGTTTCCAATTTTGTATTCAATTAACTATAAGTGTATTTTGTGACAAATGTGGAATAAACGTGTTGAGGATTAACTAAACAACATAAAATTGGTAAAATTAAAATAAAACCATGTGGAAATTAAGATACGCCATCACATCCGCATCAATTATTTCTATATCATTTATTTACAGGCTTACAGAAAATGTCGCGCTACGGTGACTGCAAAGTGTACGTTGGTGATTTAGGTAACAATGCAAGTAAACCAGAACTAGAGGATGCCTTTTCATACTACGGTCCCCTAAGAAATGTGTGGGTAGCGAGGAATCCACCCGGCTTCGCATTTGTAGAATTTGAAGATCCCCGTGACGCTGAGGATGCGGTAAATACTTGAGAAATCCGTAATTTTTGAGTTATTTCCATGTAAACGCAAACTAAATTGTAATTTTTGAAATGTTTTAGATTCGCGGTTTAGATGGACGAACAATTTGTGGCCGTCGGGCTCGAGTGGAAATGTCCAACGGAAGTAGAGGATATGGACGCGGGCCGCCGCCTAGGTCCCGTCTTCCACCGCGTCCTTATGACGATCGCTGCTACGATTGCGGGGACCGTGGTCATTATGCACGGGATTGTACACGTCGCCGGCGCCGCAGGTGACTATACTCATAGTATTTATCAAGAATGTATGTGTTTTTGGTATGGAATCTTTGAGGCTGTGTATTGTCGTAAATGTTTATTTGTTTCGGAAGTTTATTTTGGCCATTTATAATTATGTAATATTTACAAACACAAAATTGTTAAATTAAAGATTCCATTTCCAATGTTTGGGACTCACGTAAACCAATGATAACTATGTTATAGGTTATCATTGGCCTGTGCGCCGAGAACGAACTCTTCAGTGTCTGCACTTCTTATTGTCTGCGCTACGTAGCTTACACTTCGCGGCGTGTACTCCGCTTATGTTGACAACTGTAACTTCGCTCTGCGAACTACGTAGTGACGGCCTACGTGCACACTTCACTTTTTGAAAACTACATTGAGCATTATGTTTGTTCAATCGACGCGACACACGTCTAATGTAATCACTGCGTGCACTCAGTGAGTTACACATTTATATCCCACATTTGTGTTCAGAGCAGGCCTGCTGTTATAATCATTTATTTACAGTTATCATACAGTTAAGTATATATAGTAAGAGGACAATTCATTCATTTACATGATGACTTGCACATTGGGACACGAAGAGGTAATGTCTGGATCATGGAAGGTTTTTTATTTTCAAAGATTGCACTATAGATTTAAATTTTAAACTAGGGCCGGGCCGTCTTTAAATGTGTATCAGATTTTAACGTCAACACAATATTTTATTATATTTTTTGTACAAGTATTGGTCAGTCACAGTTACAGCAACAGTTCAAGATTTGTATTTATAATATATTGAAAATAACTTCTGAGGTTATATATAGACAGAATTCAAATTTCTTATTAATTTTTGTGTCTAATCCAACCTTAGGTTAAATATATTAAGTAAGTATTTGTGATTAGAGTGTAATTAGTTTTTGTGTGTGTGATTGCAGCCGTTCGCGCTCCCGCCGCCGCACGCGCTCCCGCTCGCCGAGATCAGGCTCCCGCTCACGCAGCCGCTCTCGCTCGCGATCTCGCTCCAAGGGGAGGTCGATGTCCCGCTCCAGATCACGTTCTCCATCCAAAGATTCCAAAAAGTCCAATTAAATTGCCACCGATCATAGTTTAATAATTGCAATGATTTAATTTTTTTTATTCATAGGACATCACATTTATGTGTCCACCTTGACTATGTTGCATCATTCCTGTCTCTTAAATGTGATGTGTTTTAAGGGTACAATGATATATTGATTGTGTTATCAATATACTGTCATAACAATTATTTGCTTTTTTTATTTTTATAAGACCTCAATCCTCATAAATGTACACGATTTTTTAAAGATCCTACAGAAAAAAGGTTACTAGAAATGGTAGTTCATACTTTAAGGAGCTGTGAATTTGAATTTCCTGTTTTAATTATTAATATTTATTAGTATGATTGTATTGCAGTAAATATACCAATGTATGTGCACCCACACACAATGATAATTCTTGTAATAGCTACCTCCAAAATCAAAGTAATGTATCCTTGTTTTTGGGAAAAATATTCAAAATTTCAGTTTTTTAACTATCATTGTTGAGTAAAAAAATAATGGCCATATACAAAGTATCGTAAAAGTATTCCTCATTACCTTTTTCTTTTTTTTGGACTTTAAAATAACCCTGTATATGTATAGTCAGATTATAAAGTGTATACTAAGTACTACTATTTAAATTCTACAGTCCATTCATTTGGTAATGTCATGAATCGCGGTAGATATGTTATCAACATCAGGTAACGCTATATAAGTACTGCTTTCAGTAGCAGTGCAACATGCCTTTGTAACAGGGGTGGTCTCAAAACACAAATGATCGTATCAGCGAGTCCAGTCACTGATCACGTATAATCTGCTAAGATTTGCTCATGACTTAGTGCTTGGCATCCGGAATGAACCGCCTTTACGTCGCTATTTATACCTATCCTATCTATTTCTCCTGCTATATCGCTGTATGCAGCTTTATGCATAAGAGGGGAGTGAATTTAAATATGACAGCTGTATATGTATGGAAGAGGTCGTCCATAGGGCTTTTTACACCTTCCTTCGTGAGCTCTAACTTTATTTAATTATTATTTAGGTTAATGTTATATTTTGTCTTCCCTTCCTAATAAGAGTAAAATACATTTTTTTAATCTGTGTTCAATACAAAAATTGGATGGCGAATTAACCGAATGAAATGGCAACACTGAAATTAAAAAGAAAAAAGCAATGTATAGCGGACGGACGTCGTTTCGACTTTTGTATTCCGTCATGCAATAATTTTTGTCATTCTTGAATTCGTTATTAAAAAAGAATTTTCGATGTCGCCTACGTGAACATTAGTTAGATTATAGATAACCATGAGGTGTTAGTATTTTATTTCGCGTAGTTCATTTTGTAGTTCTTGATAGGTCTGTGACAAGTACGGTAATGGTGGCCATGTCATGAAAATCCCCACAGCCATGGATGATAGCTCCGTGTCTCATCATAACGGAGGGCAAGTGGGATCTCAAATCGGAGTTAGTGTAAATAATAAACAAAATGAAGAATCCAGCCAAAGTGTCCAGTATTCAATACCAGGCATTTTGCATTTTATTCAACATGAATGGGCGAGATTCGAGCTCGAGAGATCACAATGGGAGGTGGACAGAGCCGAATTTGAGGTAATTATGTATAAATTTCTATTGTTTTATATCTATCAATAATTCCTACAGCCTTTCGTGTTTTCCTTAGTGTAATTTTATTTCAGTTTTCTTCGATAATTTTGGTACAATTTGATTTGATGTGAAGTGTTTTATTATGCTACAAATTTGTTATTCAATAATATAAAACAATAGAAATTGTTTGATATTAATTTTTAATTGTAATTGCCGTAAAATGTATCTCATGCCTTAATTGTTTTGGTAAAAATGCGATTCAGCATACGAAAAATTATAAAATGTCCAAAATTATCAACTTTTGTTATTTTATATAAATACTTTACATTTGTACATTACAATTTTGTTGCGTTTTGATATTCTTTTTATAAAACAAAACCATTATGCTATAGCTATTCTTATAATCTTGGAGGACTTGCAAAGAACTGTAACCTTACAAAGCAACTTATGTCATGTGCATATTAGTATTTGAAAGATATGTGATATAAAGCATACCAATAAGTATTAAGCATAGACTGCAAATTAGCAATCCATTTACCATCTAAATTAGCCCTTTTGTCACAGTTGTGATTTAATTAGAAATTTAAATCATAGCTTTAACCATCTTGTTAATCTTCTAAATATTGTCAATAATAGATACAGCACATGTTATGCTAATACTTGTTTATTCCTAAATAGTTATTCCAAGTAACATTTTCTCACATAATTATATTAAACTAGCAGTTGCTTGTGGCTTCATCCACTTGAAATAAAAAAAAATTGTAGTTAATATGGCCGGTGTCACCCAGGGATAGTGTAGCTTAACAACAGTGAAAGAATTTTTAAACTCACTTCAGTATTTTCGGAGCCTATTCAATGCAAACAATTAAATCCTTCTGCTTCATAATATTAGCATAGATAAGGTATCACTATGATACAGTTTCATTTAACTATTTTATACAATTTCCACAAAATCACAATTTTTAAAATATAAAATACATAGAGGACATTTATATCTGTATAAAATTTGATATTTGTTTATAAGATTACCAGTTGCACAATAAAATATAATAAACAAGTTATCACAATAATTTTGTTTCCACAGGCAAGGATTGCATTCCTCCAAGGAGAGAGAAAAGGTCAAGAGAATCTGAAAAATGATCTAGTAAGGCGGATTAAAATGTTAGAGTATGCACTAAAGCAGGAGCGAGCAAAGTTCCATAAGCTCAAATATGGTGTAGAATTACAACAGGGAGATGTGCGCCCGCCACCGGAGGAGCCGCCCACGGAGCCTGAGCCCGCAGAGAAGGCACAATGGAAACAGGGGCGACAACTCATAAAACAATACCTCCAGGTATAACATAAGTTAAACCATGAACAAAAATATCACACTACAGATAATAAATTATCTTCCTATGTAACTTCTTCATCTTCATCATCAATCCATTAGTACATTCCTATATTACTCTTGTATTGATTGACTTCTCAGTATTGAGATACCTTTTACATTAAATTAATACTATGTATTATAATTTCATTCCATTAAAGTAAAAAAATTCTTATTGAAAATAACACTTATTTGATTAGACAGACAAACTTTAACAAGTATATCATATTAAAACCTTGGAGTAACACATTTAGCAAACAAATCAAACTTCATGGAATTGTCTGTTACTTGACTAGATAATTGACTGAATTGCATGAATCTGATTTATTTACAAGCTTAACAATATTTTTTTGTTGTATCCAATAGGAAATAGGCTACACAGACACGATACTGGATGTGCGCTCTAACCGCGTGCGGACTCTGCTTGGCTTGAACAATGAGGAGCAGGCAGAGGACCCCAATTATAGAAACAATGATAACAAATTCCGCGAAAGATGCGGCGATTCACCAATAAACTCCTTAATCCGCAAGTATGACTATGGTAAGTTACATTGAATTTATAAACTCAGAAATGTATCATCTGAGTAAATAAAACATCTTAAAGAAATTATTGCAGTTATTCTATTGTAATGTAGTGCCAGTTTTTTTTATTACTTTTAACCTTTCTGTGATGTTTTGAGTAATTATGTTTTTAACACATTTATTGTGGGTTTCTGATACCAAAATTTCTGTGAAACTTAGTGTCATCATTGACAACACAGATAACAAAAAAAATTATTAAGTGGAGATTTGTGATTTGGAAACTCATGTTCAGTGTCACTGACTCGCCACGCAGTTTTAGCACCCTTTCACTGATGTACCTAAAAATCGTAGTGGCAGTAACGGTGTTAAGTTTTATAACATTAAAATAAAATTTGTCAACATCTAAATTAGTTTTTAACAGTATATTTTATGGTTTAGGGGGTAAGGAGCAACGTAAAGGTGGTGTTTCAACGGGTGGAGGTTACAATGAGGAGGGCCTCTCTGTGCAAGAAACGGCGGCTGTGTTCGCTAACTTTGAGTTCTTGGCAAACCAGGAGATGGATATGGATGAGATAGATGATTTAGATGCAAATAAACCACACCATGCACCCCCTAAACAAGGTATTTAATATTAATATAGGCCCTTGTGAATGTTTTATGCTAATCTATTTTTTTAAATGAACAAATCTTTTTATCTAATTGCAAAAAAAAAAACAATTGATTAATACTTATTTGATAAGCTACCAATTATTAAATTATGCATAATTGCAATTTTGCTGTTGTGATGCTTTTTCCTGTTTCCATATAAACAAATGATTTAAATAAACATAGTACAAATACACCTTATTTATAAATTTTCAAAAAATTGTTTTGTTATTTAAAGATTTGTTCATTCTTATATATGTTAAATAAACGATATAAGCATAGATTTTGATCATAATAAAGAGAAGTTAGCTTAAAATTTAGTGAGATGCTCAATTTTTGTCATTTCTACTACCTATTGTGTTAGAAGTCTCATGAAATGATTGGTTTGATTTGAATCTTTGCTTATTATACTAATATTACACACCCAAATGATACAGAGAAAATTTTCTGTTATTAATAAATTTTCCATTTCTTTTTGTGTTTTGGGCGATTACTTCCTCTCTTATAGCTAGCCTAGCCTAATCATGGGATGAGTGTAAGAATTTTTAATATTTCCTAACTAGAGGCACATTGTAAAACATGCTTTTATTGGAGCACCAAAATGTCCACTGGGTGTAATATAACCTTTTTAGTGGTGAAACTTTTTCTAATATAGATCTATTTTTTTATCATCATTGGGATGAAAATATTTATGGTATGGATATAATTAAAAAAATTATGGTGAACCATATTTACTATCAAACAGTTGATTTGTAAATAACAGCCTATTTTTGTCATTTCCCTTTCCCTTGCTACTTTTTTTTATTTCTTGTCCTTACTATATCTTTAACTGTTTGGTATTTAAAAAACTATGCTTATGAAAATAAGAGATGTCTGTAACCTATGATAATTGTTGATTTGAAAGCTTAATTTATTATGATGGACTAGTAAAGTAGGTAAGAAGATTAGGAAAAATTAGAACGGAGAAAATTAATCACAAGTTAAGGTTAAGTTTTACATAGACAATATTTCATACAGCTTTTAAATACAAAAGCTTCTGTTATCATAAACCATCAGAATAATACCCTTCATTGTGTTCAAAAAAATGTTGTAGTGTTTTTAGTTGCCATCATTGTTTTGTTTCAAAACTATATGGTAATGGGTAGGGAGTAGGGAGTGGGGTAAGAGGTAGGGTAAGGAGCATATGAATTACTCATGTTTGAAGTTGTAAAGTATTTTTTTTACTACCTTTGATTGATTTATCTGTGATGAATGAATCAGAGGAATTTGTGTAGTAAATTTTCTTCTTTAAAGATTATTTAAATAAACACTAATCTATAGCTAGATGTAACTTTTTTTTGTTAATTTCGGGGATTAAAATTTTAAAAAATGAATTAAAAAAAAAAAACAAGACTATATAACACCATGATAAATATTATAAAAGTACCACCGGTTTGTGCGACCGAATGTAACTAATTAACATAATCTTTCTTATGATAATAGAAACTGTTTTGTTACAAGTAACCTGTTCTATGTTCTCCTGTTATGGCACCCAGTGGACATTCTATGATTACAATGTATACTTTTTTATTTATTATTCAATTGCGTTTTGATTTTTTTTTATTTCGGAATTAATGTTTTTTGGATCGGTTTTGTTTAATGAAGTATTGGTTAGCGGTGATTTTAGCTTGGGTGATGGGTGTGTGATGTTTGTTTTATTGAATTAATTTATTATATATCGCTTTTGATCCTCGTAACAAGGCGAGGAGGTAGACAACGAAGCGGAGGAGGTTTTAAACGTGCTCAACTTGCTGGCAGAGAGCGAGGCCGACGGCGGCGGACAGGGCGATGAGTGTCCAGTCGGTGAGTACAACACTCCCATTCTCTGTCTCACTCTCTCTTACTGCTAGTCTCATGACGTCATCAAACTTTGACTTTGACGTTGACATTTGGTTGCGTATTAAAAAAGTTCTTGGAGTGCTGAATCTTAAAATTATTTTAGCATCTTTATCTAGATATTCTAGGTTAGGGAAGTAAAATCTCAAACAGTACGTTAATTTAGATAAAAGGTAATTTTTAACAGCAAAATTTCCTCGAGGTAAGATGAAGGGTTCTTTGACACCTACGGCTAAAATTGGGAATCATTACTGATTGACGCATTAATAGAGTAGTAACAGCAGTATTTTGTATTTATATGAATTTTCTAAATATATAGCTGTATTAATTACAATACTAAGCCAACTTTCTGCGCGCATTTTACAAATTAACTGATTCTCAGTAAGAATATACTTTGTGTTACTTTTTATCGCTGTTAAAGTTTTAAAAGCTACAAAAGATATATGGCTGGCCTGTTTAATCTTATCTAGGCTATTTAATCAATATTCCAGTGTTAGATCGGTGAGAGTCAGATTATAAATAGAATTATGTTCAATATAGATTAAATTTATCCTTTTGTTGTATTGTGAAAGTGTTTTACTACTGTATTATGATAAGACGTCAATTATCTGACGATTAATGTGTTTCTAGGTTTATTTTATCTGTCGACTTTCCTTTATATTCTTTACGAATTAGTGATTAATAAAATTTATTTAGTTTTCGTAGGGTTGATGGTTTTGTTTTGTTTTTAATAGGCTTAACGTTTATTACGTATATTAATTCTGATCGTTATTTATTTACGATTTCTGTCAAGTGTTGCATAACATAAGGTTTTGTTGAATACGAGACAATTACTTGATAATATACACTAATAAACTGTGATTTTATAATATAAATAATTTAAAAAATTCTAAATTACATTTTCATTACATTTCGTAAATATTTTTAAAAGAACACATCTCGCGTTCTTTTAAAAATTATAACGGGTTTTAAATATTGTAAATTGTTAACATACATCAAAATGAAGATATAAAGGTATAGGGGAGCACAGGCAGCGGAAACAGAGGTCTGACGACCTTATGAATCGAGTGATTAGTTAATAATGTCAGGCAAATGTTTTAGACCACTCTACGCATGGGAGTCATAAATAACGTATTTAACTAAGTCATTTATCTACAATTTAATATGAATAAATTATGTTCATTAAGGGGGAATATTATAAATATTTCGCAAAAAATATAGCATATGCAGTGAAAAAACTAGAGGGCTAGTGAACTTAAAAAAATAAGTAGAAAACATTAAAAATTCACAGACGTGACGTAATGTTTTATTCATTTTGTCATAGGTTTTTAGAATAATATTATCGTAATATAAAAGTTGTCTATGGTTTACAACGGAAGAGTAATAAACTTATAATTCATATAGGAGTAATTGGCCGTGCCAAAGCGTTTATTTTATGAGAGTATATAACATTAACACTGCTTAAAAATAGAGTTAATAGGCGCACACATTAACGGTAAATTTGATGGAGCAGTTCCGTGTTGTTAAATTGAAAAAGTTTTTATTACGTAACGCAATGATAAACCCTTTCAAATTACTCACTACTTATTAAAATATATAGTACTAAGAAACTTTTTTGTTTTAAATAAGATGGCATAAAATTATTGTTCACATAAAATTTTCGAGTTACGATAACTACATATATCTTACGCACACATTAAAAATAAGAAAATTATGTCAATTCAAGAAAAAAACAATCTAAATCTGAAATATTATTCTTATTCGAATCCACGACTTCATGGTCGAATTCCGAACTTTTAACCATTGAACCATAAGGTCCCAATCATCACAGTACGATAATGGTTTCTGGCTTAGACCCACAATGCTTATTTTGCCTTTGTAGCCAAACCTATTCGGAAGTAGACATTTTAATTAGGCCGTTTCATTCGAATCTCGAAAAACACTGTTTTTGCTGCAATGTTTAAAAATAACAGCGTTCAATACAAATGAAAAACAGCAATGTAATTGTAAACCGTTAGCAGATAGTTCTTTCAAATCTTTTTATCTTAAACTAGTGCTTTTTGTACCGGTTTAATACTGCAGAAATATGCGGGCGCAAAAGTTGGTATAATAACCGAAAAGAGTCAAAAAATTATTAATAATGCCTTAGTTTTGTTGTTTGAATCTTGGTCATCTTGACTTATTGTTTGTTTATTAGTTTAGATTTGCCTTTGATGTTTCTCAGTTCGTGTTTGAGATGTCGCACATCGTGTATTGCATGTGTGTATTGGTGCAGGCGTGGTCGGCGGAGGCGTGGCCGCGGCGGCGGGCGGTGGCGAGGCGGACGAGAAGCCGCTGGCGCTGGGCGAGCTGGCGCAGCTGACGGTCAGCAATGAGCCCGAGGCGTACGACGTCGCCGGCGCCAACAAGGAGTCCTTCCGCAAGACCTGGAACGCCAAGTACACGCTGCGCTCGCACTTCGACGGGGTGAGACTTATTGCACTGCAGCGGCGCCAGACGAGCAACTATCTACTGTCGTGGATCTAGTAGGACCCGACTGAATTAAAGTAAAGGCATAAAAGCTCCCTTAGGGTATTCAAAATCTTTAGGGGTTGCCGGTAAACGTTTAAGGTTGAAGGTGTAGGATAAATATCTCTATAAAATATGTTAAAATTAATTTTCTCGACTCTATGTTTCTAGGTTCGAGCTTTAGCTTTCCATCCCACCGAAGCCGCTTTAGTGACGGCCTCCGAGGATCACACGCTGAAACTGTGGAACCTGCAGCGGACCGTGCAAGCCAAAAAGTCGGCCGGCCTCGACGTGGAGCCTCTGTACACGTTCCGAGCGCACACGGCGCCCGTACTCTGCCTCGCCATGGGCCTCCCACGCTCCGAGGAGTGCTTCTCCGGGGGCCTCGACGGCACCATCCGCGTCTGGAACCTGCCGCCGCCCACCGCAGACCCTTACGACCCCTACGATCCCGCGGTACAGGTAACTATCACTGTTTTATCTTCTGTTACCTCTAGTACTTATTTATGCAACGAATAGAATATTTATTTTGTGAAGGAAATGATGCATCTTTCGATTATAAATTTGCTTGCAGGGTCCGGTACTGCGCGAGCACACGGACGCGGTGTGGTCGCTGGCGTGCGCGCACGGGCGGCTGCTGTCGGCGTCCGCGGACGGCACGGCGCGGCTGTGGGCGCCGCGCGCTGCACGCCCCCTGCTGTGCACGCTGCGCGACGACGCCATCACTGCGCCGCACGCGCCCGCGCCCGCCGTCGCCGCAGACTTTGCGGACGGCGAGGCGGCCGCCGCCGTCGTATACCGCGACGGTACCATGCTGCTCTACGACCTCGAGACCACGCAGGTAAAAACATCGCTCTGCCTTCTACTTGACCACATCTATAGCCTTATTTGATAAAAAAAAATGATGTTACACAATTTAAACATGAGTTAAGATAAATATGTGTTTTTGGTATCAGTCGTTCCTGCGTATTGCGTGCGACAGCCCCGCGAACCGCATTCGCGCGCACCCGACGCTGCCGCTGTTGGTGAGCGCGCACGAGGACCGCCACATCCGGTTCTGGGACGTGGGGTCGGGGCGGTGCGCGCACGCGATGGTGGCGCATCTCGACGCCGTCACCGGCCTCGCGCTCGACCCCAACGGCCTCTTCCTGCTGTCCGGCTCGCACGACTGCTCCGTGCGCCTCTGGAACCTCGACACCAAGACCTGCGTGCAGGAGATCACCGCCCACCGCAAGAAGTTCGACGAGAGCATCCTCGACGTGGCCTTCCACCCGCTGCGCCCCTACATCGCCAGCGCCGGCGCCGACGGCCTCGCCAAGGTCTTCGTCTGAGAGGACGACACCGCCAGCCCGACACCACCGCACCACCGCACCACCACAGACCCGAGCACAGCCGTGACATATTACTAACGAACGGGATTCAAAATTCCAATTTTTTGCCTTTTTGTATTTCTGACTACAGTTTTACTGTTAATAAAGTTTTTGTAGTTTGAATGAATACGGTCTGGAAATTTGCGTACTGGAAGAACTGATTTTTTAAAATAAAACATTTAATAATTAAGACTTTCTAATATTTAAATCTATTATTTCTCATGTTCTTCTGTTATGCAAAAGTACCGTGCGATTTATTAATTATATATATTGCTTCAATATGAAATGATGCAACTATATCGACGTTGGTCTCGACGAGCCAGATTGGGGCACTTGTGTAGCACGTGCCTCGGGCAGGCAAAAGTAGCATTATGCATGTGTCTCCTGAAACATGTCACGGTTGTGCCTCGGGCAGGCAGGAGTAGTATTGTGCGCGTGCCTCTTGTAGCACGTCACAGTCATGCCTCGCGCAGGCAGAAGTAGCGTTGTGGGCGTGCCTCGTGCAGCACGTCAGGACCGTGCCTCGCGCAGGCAGAAGTAGCGATGTGCGTGTGCCTCGCGCAGGCAGCGGCGGGTCGCATGGAACGCGGGCGAGCTAACACGTGTCTCGGAGCACGTGTCTAGTCCCTTCGGTACGTTTTTAACATATTTAAACATTGTAAACGTTTCGGACGCGTTTATTCGTCGCGAGCGCGTAGTGAACTCATCTATGTATAGACATTTGAAATCTATTATAATATATTTTTAGATTTTCAGTATGTGGATTTTAGGTTTTTATTGCGAATTTTTCACACGACTCTATGATATAAAGTGAGATTATTGCTCGTTTCCAAACCCTGTGCACTTTGCCATGAGATTTTATGTAAACGAACATAAACAGTTCTCCCAAAATGTTCGATCTTTCACTTGATGCCTGTATCTTATTTTGCGTGTGGGAATGCAGAAATGATTCCATATTATTGTAACCATTAAATAAATGCCCGACAATATATAAACAAAAGAAACCAGCATTACAATTAATCTACATTTATTATTAAAATTAAACATAAGTACGTTAACTAACATAAACAAGCTTTAAATTTGAATACAGCTAAAACTTGTTTTAACCTGGATTATTAAATAATTTAGTTGTGTACAAATTTGAATTTATATACTTAGCTTATATGCATGTTATTTCTATATCGCTTGAATTTGAATTGCACTTATCTGTTATAAGAAGAAGCACTATAAGCGTTCGTTTACATAGAATGTCATGTTTACATTAACAGACTAAATGAATCTGTAAGCAGATGTTTGTAATACTGAATGTTGGCGATGTTTCTTTGATACGTTGTGTCTGTGACTGTACAGTTAGATTTTACGCAGTATTTGCTAATTCAGATAACGAATGAAATGGTTTCTTTAGCTCTTATATATTATTTAAATCAATTGGATTTACATTAAAATATTTTCGTTGTAATTTTCACATGTACTGAATAACACGCTCTCACGGTATCGTAATAATGTGAGCGATCGAACAAAATTATGAATGGGTAGAAATTACTTTATTAAAAGTATATATAATAAGTAATGTTTGTTGATAACGAGTACTGCGATGTAGAATATAATATATATGTATTATGAAACATTACGTATTCCTTTATTTTCCTCGAATTCATACTTGTACACTTACATCCAAAATTGATAGTAAAAAGCAACATAACCGAAAAATTTCTTGTTTTTATTTTTTTAATTACCCTTCCTTATTCTATAAAATAAGCATTAAATATCAAAAGTACAAGGGAATCCATAAAGTATGTGCCTGTATATAAATATTCAAATTTCTCAAAGGAAACGAGGGCAACTATTCGCTGTCTTTATGCACTGAAAGACCACGGTACAAAGAAGTTACTGGATGAATAAGAAAGAGCATGGTGTTAACAGCTATTTGATTGATAAGGGGTATTTTATGCTTTTACTATCGCTTTAAAGCGGCACCAGATGATTGTAAACAGACAGACAAATCAATTGCTAATCGCCACAAAGATTTGAATTTACACAAACAGATTCTAGAGTGTGATACTTTGATTTACCCAACTAAGACTGTGGTCTAGAAATTACTAAAGGAGCTATATTGTATTAGGAAGAAAATCCGAAAATGTGGCAGTGTATTGACCCAATACAAACCTTACTAAAATGACGACGGTTATGACCCCTCGCCACTCATTCTGACACTGGACTTTGTAACGAAGGGACGTCATTCGCACCAAGTAATTCTAACTAATAATGTCTAAAAATTGTGATTTGGAATATCATCTTGTCTCTAGGACTAGTACCGAATATAAGGACGCGGGAGGAGCAACGACTCTTCTAATGTTAAGTGATCATCGAACACAGACTTTTGTAGATGACTTGTTCATTATAGACATTCAATAAACTATTGTATACAATAATGGTTTGTTTACACAATACAATGTGTACAAACTTTAGGTCAACAGCTAATAAACAATTTTAAAGGATTGCTAACCAGTTCGTGCTATGATGAACGATAAAAGAGCGTATAATAGTTAAAGATATAAACTGTCTTTGACCATAAACCATAAATTACTGACCGAAAAAGTGAGTATAAAAGCTATCCGATTGAAGATTGTTTATCTTTGGACGAAATAGCTTTTGTATAGCATTTAGTATTAAGTGTGATACTGGTCTTATGTCATACGATTTGCATTGTTTTGGGAATGAGATGTAAAAGATAACTGAGATTAAAGATTAGATTTAATCTGACGAGACATTCCGTCGTGTGGCTATTTGAAATAAGAGTGAACAATATTCCTCATCAATGGGCAGCTGGTAAGTTTTGTAAAATAAAATGTTGCATTTTTATTGTGTCCTTGTTAAAGGCTTTTTATAAGTCATTTCATTTAACAACACACCTCAAGCCGTGACCCAGAGAGGTAGACAGACATTAGGGATTTCAATTCCGTCGAAGATATTATGATACTTTTCCCGCTTCTTCCACATTCATACATATGCATAAATAAATTTTTCTGTGATGTTAAAACATAAAACGTTTTTATTTTTCCAGGAAATTTATTTTATTATTGGCTTACTGGGTGTTCAAGAGATATTTGAAGATGCATTCGTTAAATATAACTATGGATGGGACAGATTTTAACATGAGACACTCATCGCCATTGCGATTAAAGAATTAATCTATAATGTTGTTCAATATATTAAGTAAGATAATGGATAGTAGGTGTTAATATTCCTCTATATTTTTGAAGTACTTAACGCGGTTTGTTTTATTTGAATGTTTCTTCATTGAGAAGAGAAATCATGATAATTGTTTCTAATTGTTTATGAAATTAGGATATTTCAAAAGTTTGGTACAGTCTGTAGATTTTACGTTTAAAATCTGTAGTTAGTTCCCTTATTGGATGTTTCTGTAATGAAAAAAATTGAAAATACTAGTGTTCAAAAGAAAATTAGTTTAATCGTCTGTGTATTTTATCTTTTCCAATTTTTTTTATTATTAATTTTACTACTTGCGTTCCTAGCTGCATAGATCATAAGTATTATTTACCTTAATTAAAATGTATACCAATTGTTGAAAATAAAATAAAAGAGTGTAGTTTTTATGATATTGTTTGATTTTTTTTAATGTAACGCAAAGACGAAATCAAGTTTTGGAAAAGATTTCCATTTCAAATTCACAACCTTTTGCAGATATTTAAGGCGCCACTTCACATCAAGACACATCTTTTTCATAAGAAAAAACGTTAAGTATCAGTACAATTTATTTTAAAGCAATTATAAGCAAACAAACAAATAATAAAATAATAGTTTTTATAGTATCAAGTGTGCGCATATTCTGCACTGGCACTCGCGCAGCGCTTTGCCGACGCGCTGGCATAAGCTGGGCTGCGACTTCGATGCCGATGGCAAACCCACGCGCTCCCCCGCCCAGCTGTGCCCGCACTGAAATATTTGATGCCTATTTGTATTAAAAAAATGATTGCAACCAAGAAGTTGGGCTGTTTTCATGCAAAATATGTTTCCTGGATATTAATGATATAAATTCCAAAAGTTCTGTAAAACAAAAGAAACAAGTTTTTCTGAAATATCTACATCCTTTTAACTGAGTTTGGGATTGCTTTCTATTATAATAAGTAAATTATCATAACAATACAATGTTTTTTAAAAGTTACCGCGGCGGCCATTTTTGCACAGTATATTTTCCTGGCGTTCTTCTTTACAAATCTGGCAAGCAGAGCCCACGCAGCGCCAGCCTGCTTGTCTATCTTAAGGGCTTCGGTCGCACACGCCACTGCATACGCGATGGCCTGAGCTTCTCCTTTCGGTGATACTTTCTTTGCTTCTAACTTAGCTGCCTGGTATATTTAACAGGGACTCAGAATGCTTACATTGAAGTTATGTTACTTGACTTTGTGATAAATTATTTATATCCAATTCGTTACCAGTATCCATTCTTCAGCATAGGCCATCCAGGCGTAGGCGCTGGGCTGTCGGCGCAGCAGCTCCGTGAGCAGCGAGCGACACCGCTCTGATCTGCTGCTCATCATGCCCAATAGAACGCTGTCACGTCACACATTGTTAACAACACTTTAAAATCAATAACTTTCCGTCTAATTATGGTGTAGTAAATGATAATAAGAGAAGAAAGCAATGTCGAGCCTCGTTTAGTAATTTATAAAAAACTAGCTCTTTTTAAATAAACTATGGTTCAATGAAGTTGTAATTGAAAGATGCAATCAACTAACATCGTTAAATCGCGATAATGAAATAGGGTTTAGTGTTAGCATTTATAAATATTATAATAACGTTTAAATGTCTGTGAACCTGTAAGAGCCAAGATTCGTATCAGCTTTATCCAAAGACACGATGGATGCTGAAATATTTTTCTGCATATGATAGCATTCCGCCTCCAATGTTCTTAAATAACTGACCTGGATTAAATCACAGACGAAAAATATGTATTAAATTAGCTAATTAAAAGTTTAACTTAGATAAACATTGAATGCTGTTTGTCAACTAAAAACACACCACAACCTTATTGAACATGTTGTCATGAAACCAAATAGTCATGGTGTTTCGGGCTACTTTCTGTAACACATCGTTGATTTGTATATGTACCTCGCCATATTTCTTGATTCCTGCACGAATATGACAAAGAGCGTTATCAATGTCGCCTTTCAGACGACAGCACAGCGCCAGTAAATGGAAGTACGCAGGGGAGTCGCCACATGTTTGCAGTGCTTGAGCGACGCAAACTTCTGCTAACTGCAGTAAAATAAGAGCAAACCAGTTCATTTTAAAATTTGTCGCAAAAATAAGTCTGTCTTCCATGTGTAGAACTTCAAAGTACAGGGCGTGAACACAAAAATAGCCTATGGAATGTGTAATTCAGAAGAAACTTGTCTAGTAAAGCTGTTGAGCCGCGGGACCAGAACCCATCGTGTACGGCACAAAATTTACGTCATGAAATTTTGAATCGATTGCTGTAAGTGTCCTTCTGGTCCTAAGATCGCGGCAATAGCCTCAGGCGACCTTGAGGCTTATTTACTGTCTTTTATAAGTGATAGAGTCTACTCACTTTGATAGCTCGTAATCTGAGCAGAAGGTCGGCGGCTTCGTAATAAA